AATGTATATATATATATACTAATATGCCACATATCTCAAGATAATGTAAAAAGACACTTTTAGAAATGTGAAAGTCATCAGCGAAATGCTACTACGTCTTGTTGTTACATTAAAAAAAAAAAATATCATAGGAAATGCAATTTCATTTTCAACATAGTTTCATATAGCTTACGTCAAAATTTCATTCAGAATATTAAAAAAAAAAAAAATACTTTATCATCTATATTTTAGAATATTTTAATGCTGAATTGAAAAAAAAATTGAAATATTCCAAAAATAGATATAAGTATCAAATTTTATTTACTTTTTTTTCATAAAAGATGAAAAATAGCGATTCACGAATTTTTCTTATTGTTTAGAGAAATTTGAAGACAGGAAGTGATTCGCGGAAAAATGTATAATATAAGGACAATGCAACTATTTTCCTGTATATATATAGTTTACTTGTGCTCTTTGAAGGAGGCCTATTGTTATGAAAGTTTGAAATCAAATATACATGTCACAACGACATTTGATTTACATGTGAAGGTACACTATTGTATAAAATGTTAACCAGCTCTTATTTCTTGCTATCGACATATAGAAAAGCGACTCTCGTTCAAGTTGTTAAAAATTATAATTGTAAATTTTTTTTTACAATGATAATGTCAGGGATTTTAAAAAAAAAACATTTATACAGTCAATTATAATAATTATTTCTTGTAAACAAATTATAGGTACTTTTAACTGTACATTTAAAAGTAAATAAAATAAATTTTCTTTTCGTGTCAAATTTTATATTATCATTTTTAATTAGAAAATTTAATTCAGAAATGATTTTTTAAAAATCATTAAAATAAAGCGAATATTTATTTATTTATATCTATTGTCAATTGTTTTCGTTTTATTAATATGTTGAGTAAATACGGAACTTATATTCCCACAAACAGTTTTGATTGAATGCTGATCAAGTTAATGTGATTAAATTGACTCTACTGTCGATTACAATTGATAAGATATTTTTTTTTCTATATATGTAGCAATTTTTTTATGTATTTTTTTCTTAAACAACTTGCTAAACAATCGATTATAATAAAAAATATCCAAAAATAATTTTTTGAGAATTAAGAGAAATTTTCAGTTTATTTAATATGAAATTTAATTATTATTTTTGAGAATTTTTTTTTTTTTTGTCTGATGACATTATTTCAATTACATTTACGATCAAGAGTCACTTCATTGTGTTTCTTATATATATACACCAACGAGTGTAATTTAAAAAATGTCTTATCTTTGTGATAACAATGTTATTTGTAATTTGCTGTATTTATTCCACGTTTATTCGTTAGGTAAAATGGCACTATTGTCAATATTTCGCAAAGTCGCAAAAAAAACTTAATTAACATAATTTTAATATATTTAAAGGTGTAATAATTTTTCTAAGTTCATTTCGATAAAAAAAAATAGCGTAATTACTCTCTTTTGTTTATATTAATAAAAAATCATTTTTCTCAATAAATAAGAAAAAAAATTGATTTTTATTCATTTGAAAAAAAAAATTGTTTTCAATTAATTTCAATCAACTTGTTCTTGATATTATGATGTTTTTAAATAGTTTTTTCAAACCCTTAGAGTTCTTATAAGTTGTCAAAGAAATGAGAGAAAAAAAAGGATCTTAGTCATTAATTTACAAGTGAAAAAAACAAAAATGCAAATATAATTTTTTTTTTTTGGTCTAACGATAAACATCTAATCAAATTGATTAAGTAATTTCCTGCTACTACTCCACTATCTCTAGATTTTTTAATCAGTCATCAAAGATAAAATAGTTTTTCAGTAGTTTAAAATCTTTATCAAAGATAAATTAAAGATACTCAGTAATGGAAATTAATGTGTATTATTAATTAAAATTAGTATAATAAATTTAATTGAAATTAAATCAAAATTTCATATTTTCTACAAATATTTTTATTTTTTTAAGTTTAAATATCATTTTTAATTTACAGTTTCCCGTCAAATGAAAATGATCATAATTATTATTTTTTTTTTTTTAATTCAAGTTTTTATAAAATAATATCCGCATATTTGAGGAATGATATTTTCTAGACAACACGACCTATGAGATGAATGCCGTTTTCTTTTTACTATCCGCGGAGATCTCTTATAGAAGTGAGTTGAGTTGGAATGTTAATCTCTGGGGGTAACTATACTGACGACGTAACACTAGTCACCGTCACCCAAGGCAACCAAACGCGATAATTTCTTTACGGCAGGTGTGTCAGGTGGCCCTCGTCATGCGACAAAACTATATATCCTAAGAAAACTATATATATATAATGCTGGCTCTTTCAACGCACGTAAAAGCAATTTAAAAACATTTAACTTCACTAAAAATTATTACATTCAACCTCTAGCAACTTATTATTTTATTTGCGAAAATTTCTATTTAACAGGGTGTAAACGTGACTAAAACTATCATCGTATAATTTAAATGTATAATTATTCAATAATAACATTTTTTTTAATTTTAATAAAAATTTTTCAATTCTCAATTTATAAATATAGAAATTTTTTTTTTTTAATTTTATCATAAAAAGAGAAATTTTGAATTAAAAAAAAAAAAATTGAAATTCTCTAGGTGTAAATTGTCAAATAGAAAGAAATGAAATATTAAGTTTTTTTTTTTTAATGAAAATATAAAAGAACATAAAGCAAAGGATAATTCTAATTGTAAACAATGTAATATCCTGCTTGCAACACGGTCGACTCCTTCGCTATTTCCAGGAGGAATTTGCTGTAGGCGTCTATTACACTTTGCCAAAGAAGAATACTTTACAATTTATCTTTTTCTCGTTAATTGATAATAATAAATAGATAACAAAAATATATTATTACACCTCTCATATAATTTAATCGCTTATATTTTCCAAAATAGCATATTACTTAAGTTAAATATTTATTACATAAGAAATTGATTTAAACTCTAATGTAATTAATAAATAATAAATAATAACTATTTAATTAACTTTACGTTAATATTTACATTTTTAAATTATTAAAATAAGTAAAAAAAAAAATTAACAGTTAAAAGGAAATAAAAATTTCAAATTTAATTTTAAAAAAATATTTTCAAACAATAATAATAATAAGTCAAAAGCAGTCACGTGATACAATCAATAAACTAAATATTTGTCATGATAATTGCAATTGCTAATTAGAATTGTAAATTACTTTCCATAATTTACAATTATGTAATTTGTGTGTCATGCTTGAGTCAATCACATTGACAATTTATAATTAATTATTTAGCAATTCAAATACTTTTTAAACAAAAGTAATAAGCCATTTTTTTCGAAAATTATGGTGAGTAAATAAAATATTAAATTCTAATTCAGTAAAAGTTAAAAATCTTTATGCATATAATTAAAAAAAAAATCCTATTCAATTTTTCTAATTAATATGATAAAATGATTACGAAATAAAGTCATTTTTAAGTTAATGAGTCAATTTGGAAAATGAAAGAATTAAAAATTTTTGTTCTATACTAATTTGAAAGTCGTTCTGGAACGTCATCAGAGCAAAACATATTACAATAGTACGTGAAATCCGTTTTCAAAGTACACATAATAATCAACATAGTTTTCATAGACATATGCTTGTCATAATTTTCTTTTTCTAAATTCTATAATAATCAACCATTCAATTAGATGATAAATGAATTTTGTTTTAATTTTCTGTCAACTCTTTAATAATAAAATAAAAAAAAAAAAAAAAATTAATGAATGTGTAACATTAATTTAGAATGCAAGAAAATGTGAAAAGGAATTTAATCACAATTTCTCGATCTCTGAGTATTATAATAATTATAATGAAACAGTAAGTTTCAAAGCATCAAACACAAGTGCTTGAGGGTTCATGGGATTTTATGGAAATCGATAGATTCCATAAAAGTGCTCGAAGGTCATCAAGCAACGTTCCCACTGTAAAATTAATTTTCTTTGATATTTCTCTCTTTCTCTCTCTCTCTCTCCTAACTACGGAATACTAACTTTCAAATCATCATTGAAATAACTAGAAAATTATTATTATTCAATGAAATGTAGTTGTAAAATTTAGAAAAAATTCTATTCACAAAGGACAATTCAATTTTACAACTATTTTAAGAATTAAATTTTATTTCTATTAATTTTTAATTATTTTTATTTAAAAAATATTTCTATTTCTTAAAAAATTTAAAAAAAAAATTAAGGCACATATTTTTTCATTATCAAAAAAATCCAGTTCTTATCTCCTAATTCAAGTATATCTATGACCTATCTGGAATTTTTTTCAAACAGAATATAAAATTTACTATATGTTTATAAAGATAAGTTAAATTTAATTATATCTTTCAACATCTTTAAAATTTTTTAACTTTAATAATTTTCAACAAATTTAGTAATAGTAATAATAATAATTTTTAAAAGAAAGAGAAATACTTGTCGATAAACGAAAGAGAAAAAAAAAAACAAATTCGCTTTCTATTTAAATAATTTACCAAATTTTTGGAAAAATTGAAAAATCATTGCAATTGATAAATAAATATTCAAGTATAGAAAAAATTCGTTTCATTATTGATGAGAAAAAAAAAATTTCTATAATCTTTTCTAAATTTTTTTTTTTTAATTTTGATTTTTTTGTCAATAAACCCCCTCATTTACGATTTGGAACATTCTTTTTCAAATAATTGCCAAAAAATGTAAACAAATTGTCCAAGCCTGCGGAGAATTAAAGTGTGTGCCTCATATAAGGCAAACAGCTTCTTGATTCTAAACGTGATCCTTTTTTGAATTGGAGCAAAAACTTGATCAATAATCTTGTTACGTGATCGAAACTCAACAACTGTCCTCGACAATTGTTTCGATTATTAAGAAAAACGACAATCCTTATGGTTGAATTGAGAAAAATGTCTTTTGAAAAAAAAAAAAAAAAAAAAAAGAGGGCAACGACTCAGGTCATCGAGAAATCATTTCCATAAATACCTTGACAGCAGCAGCAACAGCAGGGAGTGTTTTCACTCCAATACGTAAACGTCAGCCTTTGCAGATTTTTTATATGGTCAAAAAATATATGACGATCCTTGAAAAAATTTTCCGGGCGTGGGTCTTCTTATGGTTCACGCATTTATCACTTATTTGGATCACACTCTATGGTCACTTCGAGACATTAACTAAACCAGCACACATAATTAGTATATAATTATAATAAAGAAAAATAATAATTATAATGAATATATAAAAAACGAAATCACGAGACGTGAATCACGGAGAACGTCACTTATTTACTTACCTATATTTACAATATCGAAACGTAGAACAACGCAACCGAGATTTCGGTGGACCTTAAGTCCCGCACATCCTCGACTGGGAAATACCTGAGTTCCACTTCTTCGTTGTCCGAATCTCCCTCTCTCATGAAACTACCTGTTCGGTTCATACAAACCATCAGGTAGAAAGCCGTTTGATTGGTCGAGTAACCGGGCCCCAAACGGAATCAACGGACTCGAGTACTTTCGTGGAGTACGCAGTGGTGTATCAATTCTTGGGACCTCGGGTAGAACCAAAGGTCCCCTCTCTCTCTCCTCTCTCAATTTCAACTCCACCAAGACAATCTAACAATTAGAATTTTACGTTTTAGATATATCTTTGAAAATAAGAGACTTTCACTGTGAGGCAAAGAGTGAATAGCCGTCTAAGACGTCGTTCCTGAGCAGAAAATTATATCGCAAGGTCATACCATGGAGTTAATAATAATATTAACTTGAAAAAAATTTACTTCAATTAGAAAATTTTTAATCTATCAAATTCATTTTATAATTATTGAAATTTTTGTTCTTTTTAATTAATTAATTTTAATAAATTATCATTTTTTGAAACTATTATTTATTGTAAATCATTTGTTTTTTTAATTATCACTAAAAGTTCAAATATTTAATAACAAAAATTGTTTTCTCTATTTTAATATATTTTACCAAAAAAATGGAATTCTTTTAAATTTTCAAAATAAATAAAAATTTAACACGATTGTTATGGTAATGATGTTAGTGAGTCTACTAAAATCTCGCGAAGTGAACCAGAAAGTTCAGGCGTGTCTTCTACTATACGTATGAACCTTTCACAAATAACAAGGCACGAAGAATTTTTTTTCTCATCGCATTACATGAGAAACACACACCTGTTGTTCATAAAAGTGAGGAGGTCGCGTTAAAGAGAATTTAAATATTTTATATATATATATACGCAAGACAAAAACGCAATGAAAACAATGAGATATAACATAACATGTGACATAAATATATAATATAGTTTGTACCCAACAGACATTTAAAAAAATTGTATCTATTTTTTTTCTAGATTTCAAAAATGAAAAGAAAATCAAAAAAAAACAGACAAAATAATTGTTCTTTCTTGTTCTTAATTCAAAAAATTGTAATTTTAAAACTTGTTTATTTAAATTACAATTTTTTGTTCTGCCAAATTCATAAGAATTGTATTTAATTTTGTAATAATAATTTCAAAAAATAATAATTTCAAAACAAAATTAAAATACAAAAACAGTGTCTGTGAAAAAAGTTATGTTAAAATTATTATTGTAGTAAAAAATCCACTCTTTCTGTAGACAATGTTTTATTTAACAGTTGATTAAAAAACGAAGATGTTTTTTCAATAACTTACCAATACTATCGTTAAACGTAACAAAAGTTGGTAATTTATCTATTCTTGTAGTTGCTGAGTTTTAATTATTTGTTTTTCATGACTTGTAAATAATTTTTAAAAAAAAGTCACAAAGCAAAAGTAAGAAAGATAATTTTCTAATAATATTATTGAAACTATTTTAATATTGTCTGCATTTTATGTGTCATTTTCGAAATCCTTGGGATTCTTGCGTTGGTTATTTTTGTATGTTTTTTCACCCCAATCGTAGACTAAGTAGCCAACTATGAAGGCTGTAAATTAATAATTAACATTTAAACATGTGTTTCTAAACTCTCAATCGAGGTAAGAAAAAAAAAATTATTGTTAAATGATCTCAATATTTAGTAGTAGTATTTTATTAATATTTAATAATTATTCCCAATATTTATTTTCTACTAAACTTTTTGTTATGATTCGGATAATTGAAATTTTTTGAATTTTTCATTGATATAAAAAGCTGTAAGTTAATTAATAAAGAATACTTACGAGGTACAACGCGGAAAACACTTTCACGAAATCGGCGAGCCGTGTTGTATAATCCAGGATTTATGATTCCTGCAAAAGATTTTTGCTCAAATGGACTTAATCTGTAGAAGACGATTCCTCGAACATAATGCAGATTTCCAAAAGCTTTTCCCATTTTGATAGGAAACTGTAAAAGTAAAAAAAATCAGAAAATAAGAAATATTAAACGCTGGAAATAATATTATTGTCATTGTCAATTTCAGTATTCTTCTATTACTTTTTCAAACATTTCTCATTAAAATATAACTCAAAAAAATTTTTCGCCCATAACCTTCAAAATTATATATATATACATTTCTATATAGTCACATTGTAAAGAATGAAAATTGCAATAAATAATAGTATATAATAGTTTTTTTACAACAAAAAACAAATAAAATGTATACCAGAACAGAAAAATTAGATCATTAAATTGAAATCTACACAACGTAAAATGTATGAACCTCGAAAAAGTACTGACTGAAAAGTTTACTTTTTGAATGAAAGTTTAGTTGATATATTTTCAAAGAATCAATAATATTATTAAGTGGAGAATGGAGAATTAGTACAAATATTCATATTTCAATTTTTGGGCAATGGGAAATTAAAAAATATTTCTAAAAAAACATAAAAACACTTACGTAAGAACTCGATTAGTGCTTCACTTAACCTTAAAAGTAAGGATATTCATAGACGTATTGCTATTGGTTGAAGGGGTTGAAGTAAAAATTGTCAGTGGCGCCCCCTTTCGTACAAAGCGGGAAAAATTTAGAAAATTTAAATAATGTATGGGAAAATGGAAAATTATTTAAATAATTAATTCACTAATTACTATTTTACAGTAAATGTCTTAGACAAATCTAATTTAAAAGTTATACTATAGAAAATAATTAGTATAATAATTATTCAAATAATTCACTGTTTTATTCATAATTTAAATTTCCCTAGTAAAAGTAACTAGAAGCAGATGCCAGCCTTCACACACCTTGTCCAAAATTGATTTTGACAATTAATTTAAATTTATAACATTGTAAAGACTGTCTTGATTTTTTTTTTAATTATAATGATGTTTGTAATAATGTTTTAATTAGTGTCAGTAAATTATAATTTCTTTAATTGTGGTTTTTTTAATTTCTTTTTAATTTACAAAATCTTAACGAGCATAAGAGAATTGTCATTTTGTGATTGGTGGACATGTTTTAACGTCACCGGCATTTGTATATTGGTAGGACTGAATGAAAGCTTCTTTGGGAATTTGGTAGGGCTTGACTCGTGAAAGGGGAGAGGAGTGCGCGGTTGTTCCGTCGGCCATTGTGAGTACCTTGTCGAAAAATTGTGTTCGCGAGTTCAATTTCTGTGCTTATTCGGCCACATCCAAGAAAAATCAAGGAAAATTTTATTCGCAAAGTGCTACGTGTAAAGTCCGGGACGTGCAAACAACCTCGGCCCGATGGCTGAAACCGATAAACTCAACATTGACAGCATTATAGCTCGGCTCTTGGAAGGTAAAGTTAGTCAATGATTGCTGTTGGGGGGAACGCTGCGACAGCACAGTGCTTACGTCTATATTCTTTATTCTCAAAAATTCCATCTCACACGCTTATACGTTTTTGTATATCAGTGTCAAGGACAAGTGTAGCCCTTGGGATCCCTTTTTTGTCAGGTTACGCAACTCGTTTACAATTTAGGTGATTTATAAAAGTAACATCCACACTGATAAATAAGAATTTGTAAGACAAACGGGAGTTTGTTTACATAAAACATTATTGACAATCATAGAAGAGCCCATCTTTAATTTTGGACTTGATTAAAATTCTTAAATTTACGTATTTTATTTTCGATTCCGGCTTCATTGGGATTTTTTTTTCTCAATCGTAGTGTAAAATTGATGTTAGACGTTAGAATTGTATTTTCTTCTAGTTTTCTTTATTATATTTAAAATTTAATTATAACGTTTAAATTTGTTTGGAATTTTGAAATTTTTAATAATTTTACCATTGGGGTTTGAAAGATGTTGAGAGTATAAAACATTGAGGGCGGGGCGGGATTGATTGGAGCAGTGGGGTGAATTCTCTTTTTTTATTGCAACGAATTTGGGTTCTTATTACGTAAGTTTTACAATTATTTTATAATTGTAATCAAATTATAGTTTAAATGGCAATTAGACATTTAGAAAAAGGGATTTAAAATGCTACTTAAGGTTGATGGAAGAAGTTTTACCTGCTTGGGTACAGGTGAAAGTCATCTAGGACAAGATGGAAAACAGGAAGTTGTAGCTTGTAGCAATTTTATTGAATTTGAACTTATAAATTATAAATAGTAGTTTTTTTTTAATTATTAGAAAAAATTGGCAAGACTCAGTAATATGAATCATTAAAAATATAACTTTCTTTTTTAATCACCTTCAGTGATTTTAAATCTACAATGATAATTAGCTTTCATTAGTAATAAAAGACGTAATTGAGAACGGTAGTTTTTTTTTATAATTTTGTTTTTATAATGCAAATTCGTTGATTATATGTTTCTAAACCTGCTTCATATATAGTGAATAAAGTTCATCTCTAACGTAACAAACATATAAAAATTTACATAAATTTTATAAGCAGTTGTTTTCCGATTTCTTTTGTGGATTTTTATTTATTTTTCAAAAAGTAATTTTTAATTTTCTTTTTTTTTCAGTACGGGGAGCACGACCTGGAAAAAATGTTCAGCTGACAGAGGGCGAAATACGAGGACTTTGTTTAAAGTCCCGAGAAATATTTCTCTCGCAGCCAATTTTGCTTGAATTGGAGGCACCTTTGAAAATTTGTGGTATGTACATTTATTATAAACTAAATAAAAAATTGCATTTTTAAATTTTAATTTGAAAATTGATAAACAGGTGACATTCATGGACAATATTATGATCTGCTTCGACTTTTTGAGTATGGTGGATTTCCACCCGAGAGTAATTACCTATTTTTAGGAGATTATGTTGATCGAGGGAAACAATCTTTAGAGACTATTTGTCTTCTTCTTGCCTATAAGATCAAGTACCCTGAAAATTTCTTCCTGTTGAGAGGAAATCACGAATGCGCATCTATTAACAGGATATATGGCTTTTACGATGAATGTAAGTTTTAATTAATTTTTTTTTTTTTTATTACGAGTGATGGAATTTTTTGTTAAATTGATAACTTTTTAGGTAAACGTCGTTACAACATCAAATTGTGGAAGACATTCACAGATTGTTTCAATTGCTTACCAGTGGCAGCAATTGTTGATGAAAAAATATTCTGTTGTCATGGCGGTTTAAGTCCCGATCTTCAAAGTATGGAGCAAATTAGACGTATTATGAGACCAACTGATGTACCTGATCAGGGATTACTCTGTGATTTGCTTTGGTCTGATCCAGACAAGGACACTATGGGTTGGGGAGAAAATGATCGTGGTGTTTCATTTACATTCGGTGCCGAAGTGGTTGCCAAATTTCTCCATAAACATGATTTTGATCTTATATGTCGTGCTCATCAGGTAATATCATTTTTTTTTTTTTTTTGCTTCAATGCTTTATTTATAATTTACATAACAAAAAATAAAAACAATCTTTTTTTTTTGTTAATAGGTAGTTGAGGATGGTTATGAATTCTTTGCTAAACGACAATTGGTGACATTATTCTCGGCGCCAAATTATTGTGGTGAATTTGATAATGCAGGTGCCATGATGTCTGTAGATGAAACGCTAATGTGTAGCTTTCAAATATTGAAGCCAGCAGACAAGAGGAAGTTTACATATGGAGGCTTAAATGCTGGACGACCGGTAACACCGCCACGAGGTCCAAACAATAAAAATAAAAAGAAGTGAAACCTCCTAGAATTGCTTCGAACGCGACATTTAGGATCTTAAGACCTCTTCCCCCCCTCACCCAAAAAAAAACTCAACATTCACAAAGACTGTAATAAAGTCTTTGTATGAAAAAAAAAGAAAAAAAAAATTGAGTAATTATTACGGATACATCATAAACTATCTGCGGAGCCATCCACAAAAGCAATGATCACAAATTTATCGCGCTATAGAAGAGTTTCCGGAGGATCATTGTTTTTCGAATGAATTTCACGAAATAAGGATGATTCAATGAAAAAAAAAAAATAATAATAATACTGTCCCTAGTAGGAGCGAGTAGGTGGCCTTCAGAAAAGTACAATGCAAAAAAAAAAGAAACTACGTAAATAAAATCTGAGGTGACTCCATTGTAGTGTTATATATGTTTTATATATGACAGCGGGAGTTCTCAAATTGGAAGGAAAAGAAAATCTAATGACAAATTTAATGAGCGTCGACGTCGAAAGCATCTTTGTCCATCGTAGAAAACAAAAATGGTACATAATTTTGATTATATTTTCTTTAAATTTTTATATTTATAAATAATGTTAAATGATGAATGACGTGGTGAAATTGATAAAATATTAAAAAGACAATTTCTCCTCGTTATTCTAATTGATCCCACATATATTGTCGGATCTTTGTTAATTGTTTTTTTTTTTTTATTATTATTTTTCTTTCTTTTTTTTTATAAATCATTGTTACAAAACTGAAATTCACCTACCCGGCTGTCGTTATCTTCTAAGGGGATTGTCTTAGAATCACGTCTAGCCCTGAATTTATTGTTTATTTACGCACAAAGATGAAATGTGATCATATTTTCAAATATTGGACAAATTTATGCAAATGACCTTTTTTTCAATTTTATTGAAAAAAAAATAAACATCTTTATCGTAGGAGTATCGATCGACTCTCGAATTTACTGCCTAGAGAACTTAATTTACTGGACAATAAGAATAAAATAAAAAAAAAAGAAAAAGAAAATCGACTTTAGATTTGAGATTATCTAGGACAGTCAAGTTTCTCCGGATACATCTTCTGAATCATATTTAGAACTTCTATTATTGAAGTAGATATATCTACTCGAGGAAAATTCAAACATCCATTTATCAATTATTATTATTATTATTATATTCTTTAATTAAAGGATATACAAAAAATAAATAAAATTCGAGTTTCTTCAGGAGATTATCGTTAATGCGTGAAAAAAAAAAATTATTATTACAATCCGTACCGAAAAAAAAAAGAAAATCTATCGCAAAGGGAAGGAGAAATAAATCTTAACGTCCATCGGTGACACTTTGTCGTCGTTTTATTCTGTCGTGAGAAATCATCGAGCTACATTGAAAATCGCGAATTCTTGAGACAAATATAAACATTGTTCGTATCTATATAATATTGCGGAATTGCATTGACAAAATGAATTCAAAGTCTCTTAGGGGAAAAAAAAAAAATAAAAAGCTCTTATTTTACTCAGGGCAGAAGTCAAAAACGTCGTCCTGTGTTTAACAATTATTCATCAGTATCATCTGAAAGATCATTATCATTATCGGCTTCCACTTCGCAGGTTAAATTACTGTTATCGTGACCATTGTAAATTTTAATTTGATTTTTCGTTTTTTTTTTTTTTTAAATCCTTTCTCCCCTTAAATGCACACCTTATCCCCCCCCTTCCCCTTTAGCACCAGTTGTACCGAAAAAAAAAAAATTTCACTCTACTGACACTATCGTGAAACGATACAGCAAATCCGCGAACTCCTCTCACGCACACATCATTGTACATTCATTTTTTTATGAATAATAAAGATCACCAAAAAAAAAAAGAAAAAAAAGATTATATGTTAAAAAAAAGAAAATCAGTATCCTAGTTTCTTCTCTGCTCAAGAAGAAACCAACTTTGATCGGTTTCACCTTTTCGTAGCGTAGTTTAATTAGTATATAAATAATAATTAATAACTGTCTGAGTCTCAATTTCAAGGCGAAATTATTCCGGATTTTAGAAACGCATAGTAATATTTACTAATAAATGACAGGAAACATAATTAAAAGAACAGAAAAAAAAACAACAATGAATATTCTGTGATTTTCACACAAAGCTTCAATTATGGCTGATATTCATGATGTTAATTATTATTATTATGATTATTATTATTTTGAAAATATTAAGTTATGACAAAGTCTTGGATAAATGATATATACTATCAATTTTGCTTAATTAAAATTAATTATTTCACTGACTCTTAAATAATAATAATAATAATTTTGAAGAAAATTGATATATGCGTTGTAGATGTATTGGAAAAAAAAACATTTTCTTGTTTATTTAGACAAGAAAAATTCTTCATGAAATTATATTTATAAAAGAAAAAGGTTGGATAAATCTTTTTATTCAAATTGCTTAAATTTTAATATTATTTATAAGTTGGTTTTTTTTAGATGATATTTAGTAATAGCAAAACTTTCGTTTACGGGTTTTGTTTTATAAACTTTTTTTTCGTTTATTTTCATTGGAGCACTTAAAGGTTTTTCTTTTTGTGAAATTTATTAATTTCCTTTGGAAGAACATGATTTTTTTTTTTTGTTAATCTGTCTACAATTGTTTTCGAAGATATATACTTCAAAATAAACAAAATCGTTTTTAAAACGGTAGAGATGTAAATTTTTTGTAAAAACATACGTGAAAAAAAAATTGAATAAAATGAGATGAGCTTTAATTATTTTTATGATTTATTTAGGTTTTGTATTTGTTTATATTGTTATTAATATTTAATTATATGGAATATTAACAAAATAATTTTTCTTTTTGTAAATTAATTTTATATTTTTAGTTGAATTTATTATTCAAAGTTTATTTATTTGAAAATTTATTTCTTTAAAATAGTTTGAGAAAATGATTTAAAAACGGGGTTTTTTTTATTTATTTTTTAATTCACGTATTTTGTAAGAAAATATCGAAATTTTGATTTGAAAAGAAATTCGCTGAAAACAGGGGATTAATATAAATCTTCATGAGAGAGAAGAAAATTAATTAAACACAACATCGGCCAAAGTGACTTTCTCTAATTTGTTGGGAGGCTCTTATGAACGACAAGACTCCACCTTCTGTTGGCTTTGAAGCCAAAAAGACTTTTTCATCGTCTAATGAACTGGTATAAACCAAAGTTTATGTTTGAAAAACATCTATACATGTAAGGTAATTATTTAGATACAATTTCATCGTTTTTTTTTCTTGATAAAATTATTTTATCAATTTAAAATTGAAAAAAGGAATTAATTTTTAATTTATTTTTCAATGAAGTAATTAAAAATCATTAATTATCATATAATTAAAATTTATTATTTTTTATTATCTTTTTAGAATTTTCTATTTTCAGTGGATTAAAATAATTTCAAATGTAAAATTAGATGAAATCGTTGAAATTTATGGTATATTTTGATTTATTTTATTTAGAACAGAAATTCACTCAACAGCCGCAAAAGGTGTCCAATTATAATTTTCAAGATGCATTCGTGCACACAAGATATAAGTTATTTTGTTAATTATTCGATGAAATATCACGTGCTGAAAAGGAGAAGGCAAACATTAAACATAATTATTGTTTAATATTTGTCAGCTTTATTTAAATTGAAAATTTCTTTTTTCTTTTTACGAGAATTTCTGGACGAAAAGGTAAGATACATTTTATTTTTATATATTTTTATTATTTTTACTTGATACTTTTTTGTGTGTTTTTTTTTTAGAAATTGCATCGATTGAAGAGAATAGAAATTGTGATATGTAAAGGAAAATTATAATTGATGTGTCAGTACGATACTAATGGGAATTTTTTTTTATTAATAAACTTTTGGAAACTGGGAAAATAAACTTTTGAAGGATCAAGGAATATTTTAGTTTGATTAATTTTTTATAAGAAACGTTGATTTGAAATATTGCACAAATTTCGAAAATTGGAAATTATCACAAACGTTAAAAAGATAGGTATGTATCTTTGAGACAAATATTTTTTTTTAAATTCATTAGTTTGATTTTCTAACGAGGAGAATTTTAAAAGGATGAATTTTTATTTTATACTAAACACTGATTGTTTATTTAACGAAATTGCGATTTTTTTAGGATTTATTTAAGCGCGTCTCGTATCTTTTTATATATCTTCAATTATCTAAAATTATTCTAGTAAATAAGCACTTTTATTACTTTTTTCTTTTTTGTTCAAGAAACTCCGAGTTCGTTGGACAATACTCGAATAATTGACTCATTTCTGAAAATTTACATCACGAAAAGCTCCGCCTTTGAAGCTAGCTAAGAAGAGAGATATTTGTGTACGAGTTTTGGTCCATCCAGAATCCAGATTTAAGTGTGGGTGTCAATTGTAGGAGGTTCTCGATGAAACTCCTCCTTTGGCTCCACTATCTAAATTCGCCGCTGAAGATGAAGAAGAAGAAGAATAAGAACATAAAGCTGAAGAAGCTTACATCTTGTAATTTCGATCAACAAATAAGGCAGAGAGACACAGAAGGGAAGAGTGTAAAAAAAGGAAGTGTGAAGAAAAAAGTTTTTTTTAAAAAAAAAGAATATAAAAGGCAAAAAATTAAGGGGGATAATTTGAAGGAAGAAGAGAGTGTTCTATGAGATTGAGAAGGAGAGAAAAGGAGAAGACCAAGGGAAGAGGACAAATTTGGTAGAGGGACAAAAATGTGTTGAGGGAGAGAGAGAGAGAGAATGAGAGAGAATGATGGACCGATGATAAGATCTGGCAGTCTCTCGTGTGAAGCACGTCCGTTCTGTGCGCTTTCTTCTTAATTTTCCTGGTTGAATTTCTCTTCTCTTTTCTTGATTACTTCGAACGAACCCTGTCAGCATCCCAAAGTTGAGGTGAAGACGGCTCCTGTTGGCGAATCACACGACCTCGACGATGTCCAGAATCCTCAGATATTCGGTCAAGATCAACCGTCGGCTTGCTGATGAAGGAATTATATTATTCTAATGTCTCATCCGGTGATTTCATTCTAGCGAAAAATTGTTTTTCCCTCACTTTTAAACGTGAAATAAACTTAAGGAAATAATCTGTTCAAACTTTGGATTCTGTGGCTACTTTGGAATAATATTCGTTTCAAATTCTGCCAATTTTGATAAAATCCTAAATGTGAGTTAATGATTCGAAATTTTCGGATATTAAATTTAAATCATTAAAAGAATAATTTTTTTTTTATTTACACAAAGCCAAATAATTATGGATTGAACAATTTTGTGTCATAAATTATTTTCAACACGTTTTGGTACGCAAAAGAAGATGCCAATTCGTGTAAAAAAATCATTGGAGTGATTAAATATTTGCCATTCAAGTGAAAAAGAAAAAAGAATATTGTTAATGTGAAATTTAGAGAAAAATTTCTAAATGACAATAAATATTCAAGGAACAATTTTCTATTTTCATAATTTAAATTTTTGACATATTCAACAAGCATTAATTAAAAGGAACAAAGTGTCAATTTTTGATTTGAATTTTTATACATATTCAAAGTGAAAAAATTCTCATGATCCATCCAAAAGCAGATGGTACGACATGTGCCATTGACAATCGATTTTTTGTGAATACTCTACATTCTCGGGAATTGACAATAATTGACAGAATGCAACAGCAACAGCATGATCAACGAAATGAGGTGACAGTCGATTGCTGTTATCAGCAATGGACCACACATCATCAGCATCAACAGCAACAGCTGCCGCCGGTTCCTTCACCAATGCAACAGATGGAAGGTAAGAGAGCTTTGAAAAATAATTTTTTTATAAATTTTAATTTTCTTCTTTAAAAAAAAAAAATTATTTCTCGAAAAAAGATTAAGAATAAGAAATATTATTACAATATTACAAATAAAATTATTTCTTTATCAAAATTAATATTTTGAAGTATAATAATACTAAAAAAATAGAAATACAAATTTTTTAACTAATTAAAAGAAATTTATTATATAAAGAAAAATCAATTTTCTATTTACTTGGTTTTGTATTTTAAATTAAAAAACGTATATAATTTTGTATAATCGATTTTGTTAAAGAATCAACTATCAAAAAGGGGAAAATTTCAATTTTTTTTTTGCGTTGAAATATTTTGAAAAATTCAAGACCATAAATTTATAAACAACTTTAGCAAATCGTTGAAGAGTAAATATTTGAAATTTATTTTGAAGATCATAAACATCCTGAAGACATTAGTGGTTCACGACCCTCGAAAGTTTTTTTGAACCACTCTGTCATTACCTCTCTTGAAACGCGGTGTGAAAGCAAAGTTTGAACGATATAGAGAAGCACTTCAGGAAAATACTTATATATATATATATATATATATATATATATATATATAAAATAGATTATGATTTTTCTTTTGCGTTTTTTTTAAAGCAGAACAAAAAAAAAACAAAAAAAAACTAGGTGTATAAAATACTTTTTGAGTTTTCTTTATGGTGATTTGTAGAAGAAGCCAATTTTAAACCCTCCCCCCATCTAAATGACTCTTCTTTTAGCCGACCGAATTTCGTTTGTTCCCTCTATTGCACTTTAAACAGTTTCATTGCATTCTAACATTCTCCACCAGGCTATACTTTGGTTGCAACGATGCATTGCACGCTGAGATTGTTCACTCCAAAACCATTCCAATAGATTTCGATCGTTTCAATTTGTTGATTTTTATTCCAACGTACAATGACCTGTGCCAACAAATTTTACAAAGTGCAAGACTCATTGTAAAATGTACTTAATCTAATGTTTCTTCATTAAAATTCAATTTAAACAAAAAACAAATGTATTTTGCAAAAAAAATTTTTGTTTTATAACAAAATATATTTATTTTTTTGATATTTACTTGGAAAACTAAACTTTTTTTGATTTTATCTCGACTATAATATTAATTAATTGTATAGGTAAATTTTTTTTACTATTCAATTTTTTCGATATGAATATTTATTAATTTGGTTTTATATTTTTTTCTTTCAGCGTGTCTTGAAACAGCGGGAAGAGTAAAACGTTCACGAAGTCCAAATTTACTAATATCGAGTGCTTCACTTTCGCCACAAGTATCTTCAGCAATATCATCATCGCCGTCGGATTCTTTAAATGACAATAATAATAATAATAATCATAATGAAGATTCAACAGCTTCATCTGCTGAAGGTATTAATTCAAAGAGGCCAATTCATCCGGCTTTAATTGGAGCTGGTTCAGTTTTAGAAGCAAGACCATTGTGGGAAGAATTTCATCAGCTTGGAACGGAGATGATTGTGACGAAAGCTGGCAGGAGAATGTTTCCCACTTTTCAGGTAGGCTTCATTTTGTTTTTTTTTTTTATAGGAAAATTTAATAAAAATTCGGATTATAAATTTGATTGATCAAAAATTCTGTTAGGTATTTAATTTTATAGAAATTAATAATAAATTGATAAATAAATTTTAGTAATTCATCGAATTGAAAAATTTTTGGTTTCAGTGTCGATTTTTTGGATTGGATCCAAATGCGGAATATTTATTGGTAATGGATTTTGTGCCTTGTGACGATAAAAGGTATAGGTACGCTTTTCATAGTAGTGCTTGGGTTGTGGCTGGTAGAGCAGATCCTGTTTCGCCTCCGCGAATTCATGTTCATCCCGATAGTCCAGCGAGTGGTGCTCATTGGATGAAACAGCCTGTTTCATTTGACAAACTCAAATTGACTAACAATCAACTAGATGATAATGGACATGTGAGTATTTAATTCTAAAAAAAAATATTTTTCCTTCATTATTCTTCATATTTTTTATTATTCTTACTTTCAAATTAAAAATAAAAAAAATTTAATTATCATTTTAAAAAATATGAAATAATTTTGTTTTTTTTTTATTTTTAAAAATGTGCGAGTAAATTTTTTTTTTTGTGAAACGAGTAGAAAGCACGACTTGTGGATTTGAGAATTAAATTAATCAGAGATTCTCTCTCTTGAGAAATTAATGGCTCATTATTCATATTTTTTTATGTAGTAATTCGCCAACCTCGAGTCCATTACTGTACTTATAATTTCTGGTGTAAGACACTTTCAATAAACTAGACTGATTGACGACAGAGGCATTGGTCCACGTGTTTGTCGTTTCAGACGGGTTCCCTTAATTGATCTGAGATACGAGCACTTCGCGTTTATGCCAAAAATTATTATATATATATATATAAAAGGGTGCGAAAAAGATAAATTTATTAATTTTTAAATTCTTCGACTAATTTTTTTATTTTTTAAAAGAATTATCTAATTAAATCGAAATTTTTTAATTTAAAAGAAATGTTTTTTTTTTTTTAAAAAAAGGGGTCAATTTCAATGGATGGGGAAAAGGGGGTGAGTAACACGACGTCAAGTGACAGATATATCTATATACATAAGGAGGAGGAAACACGACGGGAATGTTTGACAGTCTGAAGAGATCCAGTGACTAATTAGTGTAAAAACTAACCCCCGGCCAAATCTTATTCATATATAGTATATTCCAATACTTATTTGCAGTCACGAACATTAAAGCACGTGTGGTCTTTTCATGTATATATGTGTGTTTGAAAAAATAAAACAGAAAAGTAATAATGTACTTTAGACATATCCTTGAACGCGATTTTTAGTAATTAGGAAGAAAAAAAGTGTCAAATAACAATTTTTCTATTCGAAGATTTGAAACAATTTTTCAAATAAAAATACAGTTAAATAACCATTTAATTAAATGAAAATTCAATTAAATAAAAATTTAACTAAATAAAAATACTATTAAATAGAAATTTAGTTAAATAAAAATTTGATTAAAAGAAAATTTGGCTAAATAGAAATTCGCTTTAAAAAAAATTCGATTGAATGAAAATAGGATTAAATAAAAATATTTGATTCAATGAAACATCTTTACCTTATAGAATTTAGCTAATTAGAAGCCATGTGTGTCAGTGGGTTAGATTTTTGTCTCTCTCGATTTTTGGATAATTCAGTCTGTGTGTGGCCCCCTGAGGAAAAGTCAAATTCTTCGCTACGCTTTTTGACTTTTTCTAACTAGCTCCCTTTTTTAAAAGTTGCTCTCCTTCTCTCTCTCTCTCTCTTCTTCCAAGCTCGTCAAGAAGCCGACAATTCGAAAACTCCACGCAATACAAAGTGTCAATTAAGCACAGCAAGCGCCAGCAGAAATTCCTGTTACGCCTAACTTTTTTGCATATTTGCAAGAGAAAGCCAATGCCAAGGGCGTACAATTTTTTTTTTTTTTCCTTCTCTTTGAAAATCCCTTTTTCAGATTCACCATTTTTTCTTTCCTATAAACAATACAATGAATTATAATTAAGGTAATTCAATTCTATTTTTTCATATTTCCCTCCACAATTTCAATTTAATATTTTATTTATGATAATAAATTTTAATTAATTCCAAATAACAAAATAGGAATAAGTCATTTGAAAATTTTTTCCCATAGTTATTTATTTATATGATAAATAAGAAATGAAAATTTAAAAAACACAAGGTGGTCCCCTAAGGGAGAAAAAAAAATTGCCCTTATGTTGTATATACACAATTCTCAATTTGTCTTTTCTTTCAGTCATGCAAAACGCAGATGTTGAGAATTTCAAGGAATGAAATTTGCAGGAAATAAAATTTATGGTTCCGTTTTAGAATTCGCGAAAGGATCCCTCAATCTTCATGGTTTTTGTCGCTATATAGAAAAACGAAAGATTTTTGAGCAGAGAATCGTAAATCGTCAATCTAGTCTTAACATGTCTTCGACTTCTCAGAGAAACTGAAAAATTATATATATGAACCTATTTGTACCAAAAAAAAAAAAAAAAATTCTACAAAAATTTCAGAGAATAATGAAAAAGTAGAAAATAAAGAAATAAAAGAAATTTTTACTAATATTTTACTTCCTTGAATTTTTTTTTTTTGCTTTTAGAATCCTCTTTATAAGTAAAAGTGTCGGTGGATTTTTATGAAATTCCTCCAGACTCTTCATCAAGTTAGTTTACATTATTTTACCAACGATACAAACAAGCGAAGTGAGTGCTTGAGAAAAAGCATAGATTGTCCCATTAAGAGCTTTCGGCTGAAATCTTTTTTTCTTTTCATCAATTTACGTTTTATTATTGAAACATTATAATTTACATATTTGAAATTTAACACATGTACTTTAAAAATTCACTGTCCATAAGGCGCCTGAATTAAAAATAGAAATTTTGTTTTTTAATTTTACTATTTTTCACTTTTATATATTGTAATTATTGTTTTTCTTCTATTTCAGATTATTTTAAATTCCATGCATCGTTATCAACCAAGATGTCACGTTGTTGTTGCTCCATCGCCACCAGGATCGAGTCCCGATCCAAGAACGGAAAATTTCAAAACATTCTCATTTCTCGAGACAAGATTCACTGCAGTTACGGCCTATCAAAATCATCGAATTACACAATTAAAAATTGCCAGCAATCCATTTGCAAAAGGATTTCGTGATTGTGAGCCTGATGAATGTGATTCACCAACATCGAGTGCTCCAAATCCTGCGAAAAGACCAGCTACAGGAAATAATGGCGTTTTAGGAAATACATATCCAGGAAGTGTACCTCTTGTGTCAACTATGTCGAGTCAAGATCAACATCATCAATTTTATGGAACAACAGCGGGACACTGGACCTATTCTAATCATCATCATCACCATCATCAAACTACACATTCAGTTAATCCATCTCACTATAACGCTCATTCTCATCATCCCCATTCGGCACATGCATCATCTTTATACGGTCCAAGGTAGCCCTCAACATTAATTATTATTTAAAAACATTTTTCTAATAAAAAAAATAAAATACTCATTTTTTTTATCGGATTTTAATTTTTAATTGCAAATTAGGTTAAATGAAAATTTGATCAAGAAGAAAGCAAATTCAGCTAAATTCCAATTTTGCAAATAATTGGGAAAAAATTATATAATACGAATGCAATAATGAAACATCTTAGTAAACAAAAAAAAATAAAAACATTTTTATGACCTATTTTTTTGTTATTTTTTTTTTTAAAGAATACACATATATATAACACATGACTTGGACTGTGAAAATATGACGCAAGTGAATTTAAAATTGTGCAAGAGTTACACGCATAAAATGTGGTGCAAAAGTAACGATGCCAAAGTTTGGAGCCAAGATACTTCTCTAGAACTAGAATAATAATGAAAAACAAATATCAAAAGTTGTCAGAATAATTATTATTGAGTCTTCCTTTTTTTTTCTTTCTTTACAATTTATGATATATACATTTTATTATATCTGTTATAATGGGAAAATTCAATAGAATCAAAAACCAAAGAATATGTTATGCCAAATGAATATACTTAAAATTTTCCTTTATTATAAAATAAATGGATAATTAAAAGAAAATTATATAAAAATCAGGGAAAATAGACTGATATTAATGTTCTTTTTTTATTATATAAAATTTATTAATAATAAAATAAAACAAAGTTTAAAATTTTAAACTCTATTAATAATTTAAGTAAATAAAAATTATGAAAATTAATTTTAAAATAACAAAAAGAAGAAATATGAAAAATTAATTGTCGATTTTAAACTATTTTGTAACGTAATATACATATACTATTTTAACATGGGATTGCAATAGTAAAAAAAAAAAAAAATAAAATAGACTTTAAATATCGGACTTGACCTGCAAGGACCAGTCTCATCGATTTCGTGGTTGCCCCAGCAGCGTGTAACAAAGTGCCTTTTGTAGGAGCAAAGTGCGTCTATTTATGTTGGGTGTCTCAAATGCCAAACGAGCCTAAACGCACACGAGAGCCAAAAAAGATGTGGACGTAAACGTACCATGACAAACCCCCCTCTAGTCTAAGTGCTTTAATAAATTATACCGTAGAGTGCCATGCTATTATGCATATTATAAATCAGTAATGAGTAGAAACAGGAATCAAGTTTCCATATTTGCTAGTTTTCAGCTCGTTACTTAACATTGAAATTGGAAACGTTGCATATCATTTATATATACAAAATCATCCCTTATAGTTCATAAACAAATTTTTTTTTCAACTAAAAACGAGACTGAAAATTATGCTTTTATTATAATATATATGTATTTGTTATATTAATTAGTTGATTCATTGGCTAATTAATTAGCTAATTAAATAATTATATCTAAATATAGTTTACTAACTGGATAATTAATTAGTTAAGTAATCATTCATGTACTTTGTTAATTCACTATTATAATTAATTACTCAGACGATTAATCAATTAATTAGTTTGTAAATTAGCCAACTAATTATTTAATTAATTAAACATGATGGGGGAAATATCATTATTCATTAATGATTTATTATTCTCTTCATTTGTGCGTTTTAAATTCATTAGTTTTTAGTATCTAATTTTTTCTTTAATTAATAATATTTTATTATACACCTTTTTTTTTATATAATTTTCGAATATATTTATAAAAAATGTAATAGATTTTCTAAGTTCTAAAGTATTACTAAATTTATTAAGTTGTGTGAAATTTTTTTTTTTTTATCTTAATAATAAGTATTTTTAACAAAACTATTAAAAAATCGATATTATTTATAAAAATTATTTTATTAAATATTAATTTATAAAGCTATTAATTTTTTTTTTATTAAATTTAGATATATTGCAATTAATATTGATAAATATTATAAAAATTTAAATTATATTAATTATTTCAGTATAATTATACTTTATATTCTATTTATATATTGTGTATAATTTTTATTTACCTTGTACATTATAATAATAATAATATACAATAGATTATAAAGGACAGTAAATTTTTTTTTATTTGTAAATAAAAAATTTGTAAAAAAAATTTTTTAAATTAATTTACGATATTTTTTTTTTTTATATACATATTGAATGCGATTAAGACCTGAGTAAAACGATGGATTTTGACACATTGGGTGTCAGAAACGACAGTGTCACAACGAAGTGAGCCAGAACGGAAGAGAATCTGTAAGATTTAAATTTTAGAATGAACGAACAGACAGGGAGTGATTGATGTGCATGCAAAGAATGATGCTGTGTAAACATATTACTGTCCCGACGCTTGACTTAGCCCTTCGTGAAGACATTTAATGTCCTTAATGACTCACATGATGCCTCGCTATATAGTATATAAAAAATAAAAATTCATTTCTACATGAACTCATTTTTGTTATGATTTTCTTTTTTTTTTTTTTAAAAAATATATATTTCGTTTCATAAATTGAGTCTCGAGAAAAATACATGAAAATTCTAATATCGAATAAAATATAAATTATTTATTTAAATAAAATATCATCTAAGAATAATAAATTATTGTTTATTATAATGTATATTTTTTTTGTTTGGGTGAAATAAAAATTTTTTCCCCATAAAAATTGAAAATTTTTTTTTTTTTTGATGCATATATTTATGTGTATATGTAAAAGAAGATTTTCTCTGAAAGTTCATAAAAGTATTCGCTCGTCGGTGTCACTTAACAAAAGGTTAAATCCTTTTAGGTGAGGAACTGTTGAGATGAAAGAATATTTGCAGATTTTACAACCGGCGCCGTTATGGACCACCGAAATGCTCGCAGCATCTCTTTTGTAGCGGCTTCTTTACAGTAAACTGAGACTCTTCATTTATACATTATTGTATATTTAAAGACAAATTTTCATCTCGCGCTCAATATACAACGACATCAAAGTATATAATCGTTTAAATTTTAGAAAATTTTTTTTTAAACAATATTGTAACTATAATTTAATATTTTTTCAGTACAAATTAAAAAAAAAAATTCAATTTGATGTAATGTTAACAAATTTTTTAAATCGTACTATTATTATTTTAATTTGATAAAGAAATTAATAATAAAAATTGTATTTTATATTTATTTTTTTATTCACTTTCTTTTTGTGTGTGTGTGTGTTTTTTTTTATGAATATAATTTTTTCTATAGAGGATTTCTTTACTGAAGAAATACCATCCCTATATAGGAACTCGTTAAGGGTGGCTGCATTCTGCACTCGATGACCCTTGGAAGACAGTCTGGAAAGTCTCATTTTTGTGTCGTTAATTTCTACTTGCTTCGTGTATATAATATGGAGGCCACCCGCGTGTTTTTAACTTTTAACATACACGTGTATATCTTGCTCAAATTTCAAAAAAAAAAAAAAAAAAATTAACATGATCCATACTTTTGCTCCTATTACACCTCAAATTTCAATAAATAATTTCAGGCAAAAAATTTCTAATTTGATTTTTTTTAATTTCAAAAAAAAATTCCCTTATTAAAAATGCATAAATTAATTAAATATAAAATTTTATTCACCTAACTATATATTTATTTCAAATATTAAAATTTTATTATAAATTTTTTGTTTTGCATAATATGCACAAATTCTTGAAAAAAAATTTTTTTACTGACGTTTTACAAAAGTGTAAAAACAATTTTTATCATCGAATCGTGACTACCTATATTTATTTCAAATATTAAAATTTTATTGTAAATTTTTTGTTTTGCATAATTTGCACAAATTCTTGAAAAAAAATTTTTTTACTGACGTTTTACAAAAGTGTAAAAACAAATTTTATCATCGAATCGTGACTGTTCTTGAAGTATATAAAATATTTATGTTCTCAAATTCTTAAAAATATGAATATTAAATAAAAAAAAAAAAAAAAAAATTTTCTAGAAACGAAATAATAATAATTTTTTGTGTAAATATTCATTAAGTTTTTGATATGTATATCAACGGCTCCTTTGTCAAAATAAATGTTCAATCGATTGTTTATAACAGGAAAATTCATGCTCTACATTGAGCACTTAATACCTTTGCAGAAAACATTAGTGAGGCGAAGACACTTTGAAGCTAAAGGTGTCAGCGTCATTTGTAAATCAAATGCTTTCGTAATAATATATATATATATAATCCGTTTATAATTTTATATATATATACGAAAACATTTTGATTTAGACGCATGTAATTTAAATGTCATCGACTTTGAACAAAAAAAAAAAAAATAAATAAATTCATAATTCGACATTATAAATTTTGTTATCTTTGAAAATTTGGAGTAATTAATTTTAAGACACGGTTTTTAATTATAAATTAATTCTCTTATAGAGAAAAATTTTTTCATTATAAAATAAAAAATCAGGAATTTTTTTTTCAATTTTAGTTGACTAATTTAATTAGTTGGATTTGATTTACATAAGCTGCTGGGAAAACTATAATAAAAGCCCGCGAGCACTAGAGACAGTTTGTCACCGCCATTACTCCAGGATTGTCGCCACAGCGATGACGGATTCATAGCCCTTGGAACTACAACGATCGCGACCTTTTCGAGACACACCATCATTGGGGCGAAGATGCATTTTTATTCAAGCGATTCATTTGTCGGCTTTTGATCCAAAAACCAACCACCGTTAAATTAGAAAGATTTATTTCACTCATTTGTATATTATATTCGGCACAAATTTTTGTCTCACGACTATTTTTTTTTTTTATCTTACAATAAAAATTCTTTCAACTTTTATATATTTTAAATTTCTTTTCAAAAAAATAAAATATTCATATTGACAAAAAAATTATATAAAAAATTAAATATGAGAAAAATTTGGATAATTTGAAATTTTTCTGATATTAAAACATACACAAGTTGGTTTCCTAAAATTTCCTCTATATGACATGAATAATTTGAATGGTGTGTATTATTAAAATGAAATACCAAAAATAATTTTTGGCAAATGTATATATAAAGTGAGCATATCCTGCGAAATAAGTAGGAATAAACTTGCGGAGGAGTTACTTTTGCGTTCTCAACATCACACGAATATGGCTGCAATGACAGATTTAAAGATTCCAGCCACCGGTTATATTCAAAGATTCTTGATGTAAAACTTCTTTGCAAGATTCTCTTTGAATGGACCAAAGTGCACACGCGTCAAATCGCACCTCGCTTGTTTACTCTTTATACAATTCTATTTGTCTTCTTTTGCATTTATATATCCCACCTCTTTTGTAAAAATTTTTGATCTTTAAATCATATTTTACAATAAAAAAAAAGAATTTTCTTTTTCTATTTTTCAATTCAATTATTATTATTAATTATTATTAGAATTAATAAAAATAGAAATTAGAATTATTATAAAAAAAAAAAAATTTGGTAAAAAAAAATTTTTTCGATTATTTTTTGATAATTGATTTTCAATATAGAATTTAAAAAAAAATGCGAGAAAAAATGTCTTCTTTTGCATTTATATATCCCACCTCTTTTGTAAAAATTTTTGATCATTAAATCATATTATACAATAAAAAACAGAAGAATAATAATTAATTTTCTTTTTCTATTTTTCAATTAAATTATTATATTATTAATTATTATTAGAATTAATAAAAATAGAAATTAGAATTATTATAAAAAAAAAAAATTTGGTAAAAAAAATTTTTTTCGATTATTTTTTGATAATTGATTTTCAATATAGAATTTAAAAAAAAATGCGAGATAAAAAAACGCGAATTGCGAGATGATAAATAAAAATAAAAAGAAAGGAAGGAAGATATCTGTCATCATGTAAAAAAAAAACGTCCAAGCAAGCTCTGTGGTCTCTGTGAAGACAGACATTGCCAGTGATTTTCGACTTCGAAAAGTTTACCTTAAGAACATATAAATAAAAGGGGAATGATCCTTATAATTTATATCTATAGTAAAAAAAAAGAAAAAATAAATAGTTGACAGGCCAATTAATTTGTATCATATTACAAAGAATTTATAATATTTATATTTATTTAAATTGATTTTTTCTTTAAATGGCACTTATTAATTTTTTTTTTAAATGTAATTATTTAATAAAATATAATTTAATTTATTAAAATATTTTAACTAAAAAAAATAAATAATTGTAAAAATTGAAAACAAAAATTAAATTATTTTCACATTTATAAACTTAATTTTAATAAATTAATTTCTTAATTATTAAATTATTTTTGAAAATATAAATTATTTTTTCCATAAAATAATCTTGACAAATTCTTAATAAAGTTGTTTCTATTAAAAGGAATTAAAATATATTTGCTTAATGTTTTAAAACACATGTTAAAATAATAATTTTTATTGTTTTCTATTTTCTATAAATTTGTAAATGTCTGGAAGTTTAACTGTTGTTTAGTCGACACACGTATCCTATATCACCGCAGGAATCCTCATTATGTCTGTCAACATTTTCGTTTCTACCATCACTTTCTCAAGTTAAAATGATTTTCACTTTGAAAATCATTTTTTTTACACTATTTACAATATTTAACATTTACATTATTAAATATCTAAAATTTAGACACATTTTCTTCGATTATAAATTATTTTTTAAAAAATTTCCAATCTTATTTATTTATGTACTTATACAAATAATTTATTTTCAAATTTAAAAATGCGCTTAAGATAGTAACGAGAAACGTCACTGATGGCGCCACTTCCCAGTGATGTTTTACTATCTGTCAAAATTGATGTTTTTTTGTGCGTTTATTTTTATTCAACAATCATTATTATAATTGTTTAAAAAAAAAAATAGTTTTTTCTTGTAAAACTAGTTTCATTAAACTGTGAAATTATTAAAAAAATAGAGAATGTAAAAAAGTTATATGAATTTCACAACACATGAAATTGTATATTAAGATAACCTCAAAATTTTTCTAATATTGTTGATATATTTTTATTTGTTATTTTATCAATAATTATTAATTATCGATATTTTAATTTACATTAATAAATCATGTGCTCACCAATGGATTCACCAGGAATTCGTGCTCTGGAAGCAGCGAGAAATATTAAAGATTTGGCAATATTCAAAAAACCAATTGGTGTTGCCAAAAAGAGTAATTGTTATCGTGTTAAAATTTTAGATGAAGACACTTACATTGGCAATATGGGTAAGATATTAACTTTATTTTACATATATAATTGATTATTTAGAAGTAGAAAAAAATTCCTTTACTAAATTTCTCAATTATTAATTTTTAGGAAACATAATTGAAAGGGATTTCTTTCCTGATTTAAAGAAATTGAAAGCCCAAAATGAATATTTAGAGGCCTTGGAACAAAACGACGTGAAACGAATGCGAGAATTATATGAAAAATATAGTTCAGGTAGACCAGTTACAGAACGACCTGCAAGTCCTGCTACATTTGAAACACCACTTCGTAGAAATGATGACAATTCAGGAACTTCAACTGACCTACCTTCTAAAGATGAATCTTTCATAAATTTAGCAAAATCCGAAATTACCAATGATTGTAAAATTGGATTAGATAATTATCTTAGATCTCATACAAGTGAAGATAATGCCAGTTTTCAGGAAATTATGGCCGAAGTTGAAAAACGACATAAATTAAAATACGCCTGGTTATATAAAAATGAGGAAACAGCAAAAATTCTCGCGTTAGAAAAAGAAAAATCATTAGCCATTGAGACAAATGAAAAACCAAAAGAATTGGAAATGTGGAATTATACAAATAAAAATTATATTATGTACGTTCCCGATGGTGTGGAATTAACAACAGATGAAAAAATTGAAATGGCAAAACAAAAACAAGAAGTTATTCACACAAATACACGACTCACTGTTAATCCCTTTAATGAACAACAAAATAAAGAGACAATCAGCGAATTAGCAAAATCACAATCAAAAGTAAATGATGGTAAAATAGGTGTTGATGGTAAGGAGGTCGTTAAAAATCAAACACCTAGAATAAATGGATTTAGTATTGTCGCAACACCAAGTCCACGACCTGGTGAATGTGAAAGTCCACTTATGACATGGGGTCAAATAGAAGGTACACCATTTAGATTAGATGGAGGTGATACACCACTATTAAGGGCAAATCAAGGACTATCATTTAGAATGGCAGAACCACCAAAGAGAGAACAAATTGCCTTTCAACTCGCTGAAAAAGCTGGCGAAAGACATAGGGATAGAAAAATCAAAGCTTTGGAAGCTGCAAGAAGATCATTGGCAACGTAATTTTTTTTTTTTTACAAAAAAATTCCATATCGCTTATTTTTCCTTCATTTAAAAATTCTAATAATTTTTATTTTATTTTTACAGACCATCACCAAAATCAACAATTGATCGTTTAAGTACAATGTCACCAGCAGCTCGTAGATTAGCAACTCAAAAATTAAAAATTATTGGAACTCCATCGCCAATTTCTTCGAGATCAAGATCAAAATCACGAACACCGTCTATTGGTGTACGAACACCAGGTACACCGGGTACATTAATTTTGGGAAAAAATCGACAATCTTCGCAAAATATTGCAAAAATGAATATTGTTTCAACAGATTCTCAAGAACCTGTCTCAACAGACAATTTACTTAAACTTCCTATTCAAAGACAAAGGGCTTCAGATTTTTTCAATAATTGAAAAAATTAACGATATTTATATGTACGTACTTTTTTTTTAATTTCTCTCTCTCTTTTAATTTCATATTTTCTTATGAATTATCAAAAAAGAGCACATTAAGTGATAATTAACGATGTAATTAATTTTTATTTATTTGCTAAATAGTAAAAAAAAAAGATATAAAATGAGAAAAAGTATATAATAAATGTAAAAAGTATATAACAATTATAAAAGTACAAAAATAGATAAATAAAATAAACGAAATATATATATATATATGTAAACTTTATATTATTATAAAAATTACATTAAATTTAATAAATATTAAGAAAAGAGTTTTCTTTTACAATATACATTGTATAAAAAATTAATCATTAAAATATTTGTTAGTATTTTTTTTTTTTAATAATGTATCTCGAAACATTTAATGACGATTTGTTTATTATGCTGATTATGTCATTATTATTGAATTTAAACTTGTCATCAAAAATTCATAAAACGTTTTGTCATTGCGAAAAAAATTTACTGTCTTTATTCTTAAGAATATACTTTAAATTTTTTATTTAAAGAATGCTTGAAAAATATATGTTTATTGCTGTAATTTAATTTTAGAATTAAAAATTAAACATTTTCAGATAGAAAGAGAATATTAATTGTCTCCTTTTTATACATCCAACTTCTTTAGTTATTATATTTATCTCTCATATATTAAAAATTTTTTTTTATTATTATTACTAATTATTATATAATACATTAAAGTATATTTTATTAAATGTAACTATTAAAAAATTGTATAATCATATTTTAAAGTATTTTTGAAACATTGAATCTTATTTTTCCACATTGGAAAAATATTTAAATTCACAGATATTTAATAATGTATACAAGGAAGTAAATAATTAATTTATCGAAACTCGCTGATGAATTGAGTTCTTCGAAAGAAAGATTAACGAAATCAATTTTTTAAAAAAAATGGAGTTATTAAAATCTGTCATTTTCATATTAACAATTACTTTAATTTATCATAGTGATGGTTTATCGGCGGGTTTGAATTCAAATTTTAATATTTGTGGATTAAAATGTGGACTTGGAATTAATGGCGCCATTCCTAATGCATGTCAATATTCTAAATCATCTGGAACACCTTCATTACGAAATCGAAATTCTTCATTAAAATTGTCACAATTCTTTGAGACATTAAGAGGCTTATTAAAATATAAGGAAAATTTACTGAAACAATTATTATCCAGGTAACATTATTTGTTTACTATTATTTCGTTCATATTTTTCAATATAAAAAAAGGAATAATTTTCTTTACTTATCAATATTAATTTAATGTTGAAACAAAAATTAATAAAGTGTATTAATAATTATATTGTTAAATTGCTTTCGATTGTTTTAGTTTTCAGTCACAAGGTTCATATCAAAATAGTCCTTTGTTAACAGTGAATTTGACGCCGACAATTGAACAAATAAAATTGTCAAATAAACCAAAAGGATCATCTCGTAGATATTCACCTCGTAAAAATGAAATTCGAATTTTACCTAGTCATTCATGTGATTGTTTAGAAGGTATTTTTTAAATTTAATTATAGTTCTATATTTAATGTCATAATAAAAGTTTTTTTTAATTAATCTTAACAGAGAAATTAATATCATTTATTTTCTGTTACAGAATGTTGTTTTAATTATGGCAATAATTACAACCCAATGGTTTAGTTTTAAAATTCGAATTCATCAATTTTTCAACACCAGTAATTAAAATATTAATTAATAAAAATTAAATTAATGTTATATACTCGTATATTATAAAATATATATAGGAAATTTTGATAATTAATATTATTCTGTCAAATATATTATGATCAACGAAAAATTTTGTATACATTGTATTATCAAAATATTATATGTATAAAAACTGAATTTATTTTTAATAAATATACATTTTTATTCAATTAATTTTATTTATTTCGATATTGTATACTCAATTTCACATGTAATTGTTCATGTGCATTATTAAAATATATAAAATGCAATCCATTTATTTTTATCTAATTTTGTAATATTAAATTAATCAAGTGTTGCATTTTATTTTAAAAAGACAATTTGTGATAACTGCATGACACCTACAAGAGATCACAGATTTTTGTTATATGTTATATATATATATGTTTTATAATGGAAAGATAGTGCGTGCACACCGCATGTGTGCTCAGCGAGATTTACAATTTACTTTTCACTTCCGACCCTAAAGTATGCTTGTCAACGGATCATAAAGATGTTCGAATGGAAAAAGGGATACTGAGAAGTTTAACTACCATATGGCGTTTTACGCAAATTGCAATAAGAAAAATGTTCTTTTCTTCTATTTTGAAATACAGCTTTCCGCATATATGTACGTTTTTATAAAGTATCATATATTTTTTATTATACATCTGTTTTGTAAAAATTTATAAAAGCTAAAAAGTTTTTTTTTTCTTTTAGTATAATTCCTCATTTTTAATAGAATTTTTCTAGTAAGAAAAAAATTATCTTTTCCTTTAAAAAAAAAAGTAGTATTATTTTTAGAAAATGTTTATTTTATTTTAAAGCAGAATATCCGTTTTTTTCAATTTCTCAAAATTATATCAATATTTTTCTTTCAATTAAATTAATTATTTTCAGTTCAATGAACCCGTCAATATTCTTCCTGATGAAAATAAATCAAGTTTAATAAATTTTTGTCATTAATTGCATATTGAAGTCATCCACAAGGAAACGCTTTATTGCTTTATTGATTTATTTTCATATTGCTTTAATAACAAAAATTTCATCTCAAAATATATATTTAATCATTGCAACACTGTAAATATTCCTTCCGTATTTTAGTTGCATATTTAAATGTAAACTTGTGATCAATGATCTTCAAGTTTTTGTGAGATATATCAAAACAGGAAAAAAAATTTCCTCAAATAACGAGAGTATATTTAACACTCTTTCATTGCTTCTGTCAGTTTCATGGCAGAATCTAGTTTGTAAATTATCATCAATATGAAAAGGGCAATTCAATTAACTTTTCTTGTCTATACATTGGCAACTGATGCCTTTTTATTTGGTGGTGTCAATGACGCTGTTTATTCAGGATACGGAAATGTAATGTACTAAATATATAATTTTTTTCATTATACTAGTATTATCATTTTTTTTTTTTTTTTTTTTTTTTTTTAATATTATGCTCCTTTTTTCTGTTCATATCATTTTTTATTTTGTATTATGAAAGTACTGGTTTGGAAATTTTGTTTATTTCGAAACATCTGTTGAATTAAAAGTAAAATTCTTTTAGGATAATTTTGATAATGTGGTGAAAAATTTCTCATTGATTAGCTTTATTTAATGGATCTTATTGTTTTTATTTCAGACATATTCTTCGGGATATTATCCGCAACAACAATATTGTTATCCAGGATATGGATATCAAAATTATTATTCTGTTGCACAACCGTCTAATGTTCAAGCACCATCATATATTCCTCCACCACAGTCAGGAGCAATAAATTCAGGAGCAATAAATTCAGCAGCTCCAATAGCTCCGACAGGTCCAACAGCTCCAATAGCTCCAACAGCTCCTACAGGACCTGCAGTACCTGCAGTACCTGCAGTACCAGTAGCTCCAGCTGAGTCATCAGCAAAACCAGCTCCACCGGAAACACCAATTCTACCTGAAAATTCAGGTACACAAGAACCAGTAAATGAAGCTCGAAATTACGGTTATGGAAATCGTCAGGCTAGTCCACAAACTATATTTCGAAGTTCCGAACATAATCCTGAAAGACCTCCTCAATCCAAATCTTCTAACTGGCAACGTTCTCAACATAATGCTCCACTGATTCTAGAAACATCTCTAACTGACCAATCTAATAATCAACCACGAAGATATTTAAATACAGATTTGGAAAATAACCGACAACAACCACTATCACGATCTGCATTGATAACAATTTTACAAGGGCCTGAAACTATTAAATCCACTCCATTACCACAACATAAAGAAAGATTAATTTATCCAAATAATGAAATTCGTTTTCTAAGAGAATGGATACCACAACCGTCACCTAATTTACAAAATCGTTACTTCGACAATAATATACAATCAGAAATGAGATCAGTCCAGCCAGATTATGCTCAAATGCAATATTTAGAAGAACATAAAGCATCATTGAATTATCCAAATCAAATTGATAATGTAATTCGTCCTTCAAGACAATGGCCACCACAAGCGTCACCTAATTCACAAAATTATTATTTCGACAATAATATACAATCAGGAATGAGATCAGTTCAGCCAGATTATGCTCAAATGCAATATTTACAACAACAAGAATCAATGAATTATCCAAATCAAATTGATAATGTAATTCGTCCATCAAGACAATGGCCAACACAAGCGTCACCTAATTCAGAAAATAATTATTTCGACCGTAATTTACAATCAGGAATGAGATCAGTCCAGCCAGATTATGCTCAAATGCAATATTTACAACAACAACAACAACAAGCAGCAATGAATTATCCAAATCAAATTGATAATGTAATTCGTCCATCAAGACAATGGCCACCACAATCGTCACCTATTTCACGAAATCTTTACTACGACCGTAATTTACAATCAGAAACAAAACGAATCAGTCCTGATTCACTAAACTTAGAGAATTATCAATATTCCAACAATAATTACCCACCAATTAGCTATGATGAATTATCTGACGATGAATTTACTGACAATAATCAAAAATTCAGTCCATCAATGATGAGGTATGTGTGTAATTAAAAGAATTTTTTAAAAAATTAATTTGACGAAAATAATTCATCATTTTTTTTTTATATATAAAAACATCAATTTTTTTTCCAACACAAATTTTTAATACAACAATTTATATACAAAATAAATATAAAAAAAAAAATATATTCTTAATAAGTATATTTTCATCTGTTTTTCAGTTGGGATGAAGAAGTCTATAGTTCTCCAGTATATTATCACGATGCCAATACAAATAGATGGTATTATTATTAAAAACTGAATAATTGTATTAAATCATAAAAATTTGACAATATAATGTGATTATAAATAATGTTACTTTAAACTTAATGATAAATATTCATTAAGAAACTTAATAAATAAAAAATACATTGTTTCATTTTTTCTTAAATAACCACACAAACGAATATATGAGATTGATAAAGTAAAATAAAAAATTTAACAAAATCGTAAAAAAAAAATAAAAATTATTATTACCTTCCTATTTAAATTTCACAAATTAATTTTTAATCAATTTTAAAATATTTTTTTCAGTTTTAAACCAATTTTGGTAAATTAAGACTAAATTTTAATTTAAAATAATCAAAATTATTTCAATTAAAAAAATATAGTATTACTATTCTAAAAAAATGTACAAAATTAATATTGTAAAAAGTTATCATTGGCTATTAGTCGTCATAACTGATTTTCATAAAAAAATGATTTATTTTTTGAATAACACTTTAATAAAATATAGAATTAAATTATTTTGATATTAATAATAATATAAATAATATAATAATAATTTGCAAAATTTATTATAATATGTAATTATTATTTGTGAAATTCTTTGTGAAATATTGATAAATTTGACACAATTTGATGATTATTTTTTTTAAAGAAAATAACAAAAGATTTGTAATTTTAAAATAAAATTATATCGCAATTGATTAGTTAACAAAAAATGAAAGTGAATTGCGCGATTATTTTTTGATTCAGCAAAATTTTGAAACTTTTCTTTAACTGGGTCACAATATTCATGTACAATGTCAATCGCGTAATTACGTGACTTTAATACCAAGCAAGTTTAAAAAAAAATACAAACAAACAAAACAAAATGTTTTTAAAATTATCTTTCTTATTTTACTGAATTTAAAAATAAAATAGAGAAAATAAAATTATTAAATTGGAAAAATATTCTTATTTTAAGAATATTATATTCTAACTATATGAATAAAATGGATCCAAAGAAAAAAATATACATTATTACTCAATTTGAAAAAAAAAAACAATAAACACTATATCTTGACAAAAATTATAAAAATGATTAATAAATTCCGTATCCGGAGAATTTAAAATATATTAAATTTGCAATACTTCCGGTTTTTAATGTTTAAACATATATGAAATTATTGATATAAATTTTTAAACAGGAAATTAAATTTATTTTCGAGAGATCGGAAGGATATTTAAATCTCATCAACTCATCAGTTGTAATGTCAAAAAAAAGTTACAGTTCAAAAATGAAGACGACAGTTTCATTACTTTTTTTAATTATTGTCACTTTGACATTCGAAAATTCTAATTGTAACTGCCTTAACCGTATTAGTCTTGATTGTAAGGTAATGTAACAATGGAATATTTTTATTAATATTAAATTTTTAAATTAAAAAAAATATAATTTCGTATTTTATAATATTTTAGAAAGTGCCTCAAAAATCAAATGATTTTATACAACATCATTCAAGTGAGTTGGATTTTGATTGTCCTGCAAGAAGAAATGCAATTATAATTACAAGTCCAAAATTACAACGTTCGTTAAAATATTATAATAATCGTAAATCAAAATCTAAAAAACTTTGTTCTCGATATGAATGTCGTATAAAAAATTGCAAAAAAACATGTACGAATATAAATACAAGTGGTCCTACTGATTTTAAATTAATTGACTCATTTACTATTTCATCAGATGAAAACGACAATCCTACACCAGAGTATGATTATTTTTTATTAAAAAAAAAAAAAGATTCTTCTTGAACAATTTAATAAAAAAAAACTATTAAAAATTAATTGTGTATTTTATTTTCTTTTTAGTTTTGTTGAATTCGATGAAAATTTTCAACCATCCCAGTGTCATTATGATGAACCTCATCCTCAACATTATTACGATGAGATCAATGATTCTATTCGAAGGTTTATTTTTTTTTCAATTTTAGAATAATATTTATAAATCTTAATTTAAAAATAAATTTCAAATCTTTTTAAATTAAAATTTTTTATCTTTTTTACAGTTTTGACGAATTTGAAAAACCTCAACATCATTATGATGAGATCAATGATTCAATTCCAAGGTTCATTTCATTTTCATTTCAAACTATAAAAATATTTACAAAATCTTAATTGAAAATTATTTTACATTTTTTTTAAATTAAAATGAAATTTTTTTCACAGTTTTGACGAGTTTGAAGAACCTCAACATCATTATGATGAGATCAATGATTCAATTCCAAGGTTCATTTCATTTTCATTTCAAACTATAAAAATATTTATAAATCTTAATTGAAAATTAATTTACATTTTTTTTAAATTAAAATAAAATTTTTTTCACAGTTTTGACGAGTTTGAAGAACCTCAACATCATTATGATGAGATCAATGATTCAATTCCAAGGTTCATTTCATTTTCATTTCAAACTATAAAAATATTTATGAATCTTAATTGAAAATTGATTTACATTTTTTTTAAATTAAAATGAAATTTTTTTCACAGTTTTGACGAGTTTGAAGAACCTCAACATCATTATGATGAAATCAATGATTCTATTCAAAGGTTTATTCTCTTTTTTTCAAGTTTAAAATAATATTTATAAATTTTAATTGAAAAATTTTTTCTTTCTTTTATTACAGTTTTGATGAAAATGATGAACCCCAGAATCTTTACTATGTGATCAATGATTCCATTCCAAGGTATGACAATTTTTCATAATATATTACAGTGAAATATATCAAATCTTCATTATTAAAAAAAAAAGAAAAAAAAAATTAACAATCATTTTTATAAATATTTTTTTTCATATTAAAAATACTTTTAATTTAATTTTAAAAATAATGAGTTACTTGATTTCAAGAAATTAATTGTGAAACATAATAATTGTTGAAATAAAAAAATTAATAATTATTCTTTTTTTCAGTTTTGATGAATATGCTGAGAGTTGGTAGCAGTGGAAAAATATTACATTTAATGACGATTTAGTCATCATTGACTAAATGACTAATATAAAAAAAAATTACATTGTAATATACTTCTAATAAAAACTATATATAAATAAAATAATAAATATAATTTTTATATTAAACAAAAAAATGAGCTTACTATTTATTAAAACATTCCTTTTTTTCTTGCTGATTATTGAACTATTTTTTAAGTACAATAAAATTATAGCAATTTAATTTCGATTCCTCAGATATTTTTTCTGAATTTATAAATAAGATCATTATACTCATGTTAAAAATACAAAAAAAGAGAAATCTCGAACAAAATTAAAATTATCTAATTAAAAATAAACTTTTATTAAATTTTTGTTATAAAAATTGTTGTTTCATTTTTCCGAGATTTTATACTTATGTAAATAATTGTTGTATTAAAAAAAAAAAAAATATGATTGAGAAGAAAAAGCAAAGCAGTTTGATTTCAAATATGTCTTGTCAAGGCAAAATTTACTTTTTAAGATATATAAAAATATAAATTTCACTGACAAAGTTTATTTTTAAAGTGAATAAAATTTTTTTATCAAGGCAACATTTACTTTTCAAGTAGATAAAAATAATTTCTACTGACAAAATTTTTGTTTTGGTATATATTAGATAAAATTAGTTTTTCACGTAAAATTCATTTCAAAGTAGTTATTTATTTAGTTATTATTTCAAGAAAAAGTTGTTTTATAAGAAAGAAAAATAGATTTTTTTTCTTGAATAATTGATTTTAATGTAGAAATAGTAATTTTGTTCAAATGAAAATTTAATTTTAGTAATAATTCATGAAGTTCATAAAATTGAATGATTTAAATGGCGTAGAATTTTCATTTCAATAAATCTTTGATCTTTTATTTTTATACACTCAGAGAAATGGTATATTTGTCTCCGAGCCTACTAACTCATTTATTTGTTGCAAATATATTTTATTTCATTGAAATAAAAAATTTATTTGAGACAAAGAAAAATTTATTTCTGACAAATAAAACTTTTATTTACGCCAAATAAATAAGTTAGTAGGCTCTGAGACAAATATACGTTTATTTAACTCAAATATATTTTATTTGGTTCAAATAAATCATTTCTCTGCGTGTAAATCATCATACATAGAATCCTATGTACAACTTTAATTAAATAGAAATTAAAATGTATAATTAGTTAAATAAAACTTTGGTTAAAAAAAAATTAGACTATTATGAAATTCAAAACACTGAAAATTTAGATGTGTGATTTTTTTTTGAAATATTCACAAGTTTTATTAATTTTCATAAATAAATTTTTTTTACTGTTACAATGAAAAAAAACCGATTTGCTTTTCCTACATATTCGTTATTACGAAAGAAAAACAAGAACTACATGCGTAATATTTCTTAAAAACAAAAATTTTTATTTTCCATAATTTTGATCACTTGGATACTTCCTGAAGGAAATAATGCAGAATTAAAAAAACAAACAAATTAGTCAATTATTTGATTTCACATATGGTATCCGGAAGGGAATTAAAAATATAAATATAAAATATTGATAGAAATATTTTATATCACATATTTCATATAAGATGAAACACTCTAATTATTTTTAAATAAACATTACACAACATTGGTATTTCTTATGATTTTGAATATGCAGGAAGTTATAAACTTAGGATCATTGACCACAAGTATTTGTAATATTTCAAAACAGGGAAAGAAAAATTCTTCGAGATCGAGAATATATTTAAATCTCGACATCTCATCATTCAGTGTAATGTCAGGATAGTTAGACACGAATTACAAAAATGAAAGTGTCATTTGTGCTATTATTTTTACTTGTCGCTTTGGCGATTCAAGTGTCAATCGCCCAGCATGGTTGTAGAGGAAGAAAGTGTGTCCCAGTTAAACTATCATTAAAATGTGTAACGTATCATTCCAAATCATTCCATTTTTATATAATATTTAATAAATTATTGAATTTTCTATTATTTATTTGAATAATTCTTCAAAAAAAAAAATATATATATTTTTTTTTAAATGTATATCAATTATTATAACAGATCATTTAACATCAGTTAGATAAAGTGTTAAAATATTAAAAATGACATAGAATTTTTGATATAATTAAAAAGTGTTTTTTTTTTGTGAAAAATTAATTATAAGTTATAATTTGCATATAGATGATAAAATTATGCAAAACATATTTCATAAATGAGATATTAGTTATTTTTGTTAACATTAATGTTAATTTTTTTCAGTCTATGGTTAAATCTCAATTCTTTGATTTGATTGAAGTGAAAATTATTTTAAATTAATAAAATGATTTTAATGCATTGAAGATTAATAAATTGCAATTTTTTTTTAGATAATTTAAATTTTTTGATATCAATTGATTAGTATCTGTTTTGTATTATTCACAGCATTCAAAACATTGCCACAGACATAAACATCATCATAAGTGTTGTGGTCATCATGGTAATCATCATCATCATGGTCATCATTGTATAGGACCAATGTGTTACTCAGCGGCAATGCCAGGAACAGCAACAGCACCAATTCCAGGATCAATGTCAATGCCAATGCCAATGCCAATGCCAATGCCAATGCCAATGCCAATGCCAATGCCAATGCCAATGCCCGCACCAATTCCAATGCCATGTCCAATGCCAGCACCAATGCCAGCACCAATGCCAGCACCAATGCCAATGCCAATGCCAGCGCCAATGCCAGCGCCAATGCCAATGCCAATGCCAATGCCAGCGCCAATGCCAATGCCAATGCCAATGCCAATGCCAATGCCACTGCCTGCACCAATGCCAGCACCAATGCCAATGCCAGCACCAATGCCAGCACCAATGCCAATGCCAGCACCAATGCCAATGCCAGCACCAATGCCAGCACCAATGCCAATGCCATGTCCAATGCCAGCACCAATGCCAATGCCATGTCCAATGCCAGCACCAATGCCAATGCCAGCACCAATGCCAATGCCATGTCCAATGCCAGCACCAATGCCAATGCCAATGCCAGCGCCAATGCCTTCCTTAAGTACATTTGGATATTATCCTGGACATCATCATCATCATCATCATGGTCATCATCATCATCGTCATCGCTGTTGTAAATCACACCATAAGCATTGCCACTGCAAATGTTGTAGGCATCACAATCACCATGGAAAATTATCTAACTGCAAATTATACATCAGACCAAAACGCTCGCCTAGTGCCAATTATTATGAACCTGATATGCTAGATTTCAGCCCTGATGCAGTACAAGACTCCAATACAAGGTACAATCATAATTTAATTCTCATATAAATAATAATTTCATTATTATTCTTAAAAATTTGTTTCAAAATTCGTCAATAAACTACAATTGATTTTTTTTTTTTTTTTTTTTTTGTATTCTCGAATGAATTAAAAAATTCAAAGATTTTAATATATTTTTTTATTTCGACAAATTCTCGAATTGTTACTTAAATATTGAATTATCTATAAAATATTAAAAGAAATAAAATCAAATACAATTGAAATTTTCAAATTCTTGAATCCATTTCGAGAATTAAGTTTTAACTTATATTAACTTTATTAAATCGAATTTATGTCTTTACAGTTATGACGAAGAATCAGAATTTGTTAAAATGCCTCAATATTATCAAGATGAAGTCTGCTCATACTGATTTGACAATGCCGATTTGCTAACTTTATTTTATTGACTATTAAACTGTGTATATATATCCTGACATTTAGTTTTATATATAATATAAATATATAATTCTAATTATATTATATGAAATATATGAAATACATATTATATTATATGTATAAATCATGCATTACATGAAAATATCAATAAAAAATATATAATTGAAATTAAACAGATAGTGAATTTTATTTTTGAATACAATGAATCCATTAAAATTAAGGTAAATGAAAATATGTTTTAACGTTCTGATGAAAATAGCTGAGTTGTCAATACATTAAGTGTTTAATTTTTTTTAACTTTAAATAATTTTTCACCACATTCTTATATTATTATTTTATCAAGTGATATAAATTTATATCACTATAATTTTATTCTTATTTTAATATAAACTTCTATTCCCATAAAATTATTGAAACTATTTTTTTTTCGGTCAAAATTAAAAAAATCCTTATTTTCTATACAAATTTAGAGAATATCTATTTATCAAATGTAGAATAATTATATTAAAAATGTATAAGAATAATTTTCAAATATGAATATGAATATGATTTTATATAAAGTACATTTTCATTCTCTAGAAGTAATATTTATCTCCTTCAAGTTTGTAATTTAAATTTTATCATTTTGAATTTACATTGACTGACTTATATGAAAATAAAATAATTATATATATAAAATTAAGAACATGTTTAATCGCAAAAACTGCGATATAAATGTAAATAAAAAAATTATTAATAACAATTTTCAAAATTGCAAATTCTTTAAACACATTGATAAAAAAGACAAACTTTCATTATCAATAAAGGAAAAGTATCACGATTCACAAGTTTTTATCGTTCTTTATTGAAATGCATTTGAAAAAAAAAATCTTTACGGAAGAGATTAAAGGTAAAGATGTTTTTCTTTTGGAAACACGTTTTGCGTGATAATTTGTTGAACGATTTTGAATAAATAAGCCAGCCGAAATCATCAAGGGACAAGTTTAACAGAAGCTACAATGAAGAACTCTTTTCTAACATTAGGCTTTGTCATTGTCCTGACAATCTTAATAAATCATGATTGTCAAGGATTTCCCACTAATCATCATCATAAATCAAAAATTGATAATCATCGTCAAAAACGAAATTCAAGTTTTGACCAGGAAATAGAACAATTAAAACAAGGAATCAAAAATCTAAATAGCACTGAATTCTCAGAAATTCAAGATTATATTAGTAAAACAATCATTCAATTATTACAAAAGTATCCAGATTTTAACCAGGTAAGAATTAATCATTTTCTTAAATAATTTTTGTTTTATTATTATAATAAAATAAATCTATAACAATATTAAATAAATATTTCTTTTTTTCTATAAAATTTTAATATATTCGCCAATTATATTTTTATAGTAAAAAAAAAAATTATTTATATATTATATCCAAATTAGTAAAAAGAATCTGGATAAAATTATAAATATATTTGAAATGTGAAAAATTTTCCATTTTAGAGAATAATTTTAGTTCATTTAGGAGAAACATGATATTTTTCATATTAATGCTATAAATATATTTTACATTCTGATTATATTTTCCATATATACCTAATATATATGAAAATATATTTTATGTTTAATTAATATATTTATTTCCATTACAGACATCGGGATTAGATATTTTGGAACGGATGCGTCGAGAAACTAGTAAGAAAGCGTGTTCTTGTTATGGGAATCTTCCAAAAAGAAAACAAAAAGAACTTAAACATATAATTGATGATATAATTAAATACGGTAATCCCGATGGTATTAATGAGAATAAACCTCCAAAACAAAATAGTATAAATAAGAATGATAAGAAAGGTAAGAAAGGTGAGGATGATGAGGATGATGAGGATGATGAGGATGATGAGGATGATGAGGATGATGAGGATGATGAGGATGATGAGGATGATGATAGCGAAAGTGGAACACCAACCAATGCTAATCATCGTAACTTGAATAGAATACACGGTGATGATCCACTTAATACAGGTAACAACCCTCAAAATGATAAAGATAATACGGAAGAGGAAATAGATGATGATGGTGGTGATGATGATGGCAATAATGATGGCAATAATGATGGCAATAATGATGGTGAAGATGATAGTGGTGATGATAGTGGCAATAATGATGGTGACGATGCTGATAAGACTTGTACTTCAGATATTATGAATAATATTGTGGATAAATTACAAAAACTTGTGTGTAATTCGCTTTGCAGCAAAAATAAAAAACCTAAAACAACAAAAACAGTTGTAACAACAACAACAACAACTATTAAAAAAAACAAACGTGATGATAATAGTACTATCATTAAAGATGACGAACAAATAGAAACATCATCACGTCAATCTGTTGTAACAAAACCTTCTTTAATTCCTGAGACGAATTTGGAAACATCTAAAGTTAAACGAGAACCCAATAATGACAATAAAAAAATAAGGTATATAAATTCAAATGACACTGAAACATCCACTATTTCATTAACTATGATGGGACAAGAATTTATTGTAAGTAATAACAACAAAACGTCAGAAACATTTCCAAGTACAATCAATGTTTCAACAGTTACTATTCCCAATCAGAAAAATGACAATAGACCTAAAGAAACAGAAGAAACAACAGATAATTCAAATTTTCAACCATACAAAATTAAAAAATAATTCAAATGAATATACATTAAAATTAAGTTCAACTCATACTTTTAATATTTTACTTCAAATTAGTAAATTTTTTATATTTTCTATTAATATTATTATTATTTCCATTATATTTTTACCCTTTGTCATATTATTACTAACAATGCGAGAACGTCAAAGATATAAATATCTTATTAGATTAATTTCTTTTTAAATATATCGATTAAACCAATTATATTATATATTTGTAAATAAATAATAATAAAAAAAAAATAAAATATTTCAATGCCAACAAAATAATTCTATTTTATTATTTATTCTACCATTATATTATATTATAAGAAATAATTTTAAAATAAAAATTGTAAAAAGTGGATCACAACAAAAATTCCGAATCTGCAAAATTTGAAATTATTTTCATTGTCTTTTTATTTCAAGGATATCCTTGGAAATATAAATGATGTAACACATAAATTAAGCAAAATAATAATAATGAACAATTCATTGTTGGCAAATAATTAATTTTTTTCTTTTTTCATTATAAACATTGCTGAATTTACATTTTTTTAATTGAATTTAATCTTGAAACTCTTATTAAAGAATAATTATTTATTTTTTTTATTTATTCTAAATAAAATGCATTGAATCATATTTTTAAATAAGAGCCAATATAATATGTATTCTTATAAATTTTTAATATAATTTTTTTCAATGAATATATTTTTTTTCAATAATTAACAAATAACAGAATTAATTCCATCAAAAATATTTTTTAAAAAATTTAATGACAATAGAAAATTGAATGCTTCATAATAATTAATGAAATGATGTTTATATACGTAGCTTTATTGTTAAATTTATTTCACACATTACGTGTATTATATTGTGAGAACAATAATTGCATATTTCCTGTTTAAATCACATATATTGATCATTGAAAATAATAAAATTACGCATGAAAATATTATAGTAACGATTGTATATATATATATATGGTTTCTTTAAATTTTATTTTAATATTTTCATAAATATTATAAATATTATAAAACATTCAATTTAGCTTTTGTTAAAAAAAAATAATTATTATAAAATGCAAATAAATATATTTTTTTTTTATAATAATCTGTCTTTTAAAAATTTTATTATTATTTTTATTAAATTGCAACAATAATTTATTAATTATTCATTAAAATCATAAATTCTCGAACATTTAAGGCATAAATTAAAAAAAAAAACGCAAAAATCATTTTAAAAAAAAATTTTAAACTCTTTTAAAATGACTATTGGAACTTAAAATCACACGTAGTAATTCATTTACCTATTGCGATAATAACAATCAATCAATCATTATTCGCATACATTATTGTTTCAATTTCAATGGTAAAAGCTAACAATGCGTAATAAAAAGTCTCGCGTTTTAAAACTCAATAATGTGAGTTTCATTTCAACTTTTTTTTTTCGTTTAAATAATAAAATGAAAAATATAGTACTTTCGTTAATTTTAATGTTAAATATAAAAAAATGAATTATTATACATTTGTTAATTGAACTTATCGCACAATTATAATAACATATAAATTTAAATAATAAAAATAATTGTTATTTCTTTAATTGTTGTAATTTCATTTAACAAATAAAAAAAATTTAATTTTAATATTTTTTTTTTTTATTATGAAACTAACATTTTTTTTTTAGTATTTTTTTTTCTTTTACTGAAAAACATACCTCAAAACTGAATAAATAAAGTTAAACCTAAATAGAAAAAAATATGGAAAATTTCATTTATTCAATTTTGAAGATTACAATTTTCATGAAAAGAAAAAAAAGTAGAACTGAAAAACAGATATTTTTTTTATTTTTTGTATTTGCCTAAGATATGGAAGGAAAAATAGATAAGTAATGCCAACTGTTAAATAAATAGCTGAAAGTTTTTAAAAAGCTTCACTATAAAGTTCCACCTTTGACCTGAACATTCCTTCTTTTATCGCGCCGTCAACTGCGCCAGTTTTGCTTTCAAATCCAGTTTGTTACCTTCTCTTCCATCACATACCACGAATCTTTAGTTTCTCTCACATCATCGAATACAAAGTATAAATTTTTTTTCCAACATGTCTCGCTTTATTATTTTGACTTTATTAGTCGTTTGCTTCGTCTGTATTTATCAGGTAAATTTTTTTAAAATAATTTTTTTCATATTTTACTAATATGCATATTTAAATGTATAAAAATTCTAACATTAGAAAATAATACAATATTGTATATTAAATTTCTATAATATAATAAAAATAGGTCATCTTGAAAACTAAGGCATAAAAAAGTTAATTGTTATTATTTTAATATTTCTGTTTTACATATTTCTTTTTATTAAAATATAATTATTTCTTATATTGGTATATATAAAAATTGATTTTATATATTATAAATTATTGTAAAATAATTAAATTTTTTGATTTTATGTAGAAATGAAGGTATACATTTATTTAATTAATAATAACTATTTGAAATTTTTAAAATGAAAATTATCAAAAATTAAAGAAAAAAAAAATTGTTTTATACGTAGTTTGTATAATTAAATATATGATTGTAGCTTTTATACGAATGTTTCCGGTACTACTTAACGAAAAAGACCTTTTAAACTACATACTGACCTACTATTTCATATATAAAACATCTTCATATCAATTCTCATTCATTTCAAATAAAAATTTGTTCAATGAAAGCAGAATTTTATTTTTAAATTTAAAAAAAGTTTTTTTTTTTAATAAACAAATAAATAAGATTTTTTCAATATTCATAATTTGTGTATTTAATTTTTATTTTAAAAAAATCAAATATACGAAGCGGATGTTAAGCTATTAGTGACAATGAAACTTAGCATTACAAATATTTTTTTTCGAATACTTATTCATTCATTATTCAATTAGCAATTAGTCACAATTTATATAAAAAAAGGCCTTGACGCAAGAATGGTCATCAATTTTCTTCCGTTTACTTTAAAAAAATAAATAAAATTAGTATTATTTTTTTTGCGATTGGAAATTCCAAAAAAAATATATATATATATATATGACATATTAGTTTTCAATGTACGTTGTTAAAATAATCGTGAAAAAAGAAGTAAATCCTTGAAAATGTTTCATTGAGTGAGAGAAAATAAAGTTTTTTAAAAATAAAAAATTAAACAAAAAATTATCGATCTATTCCAATAAATAATTCTATCTAAAATATATATTTAATTTCATTTTATACCCAGAGAAATATTTTATTTGAAAGAAATATAATTTATTTCAATTAAATAAAAATATATTTATCTAAAAGCTAAATAACTATGTATCTGAAATCAATAATTATTTATCTCTGAGATAAATACTGATATATTTTTTCTCTGGATGTAAAGAAATGTTATTTAATGTTTTTTTTAATTATTATTTCATTTGTATAATATATAATACATATATAATAATAATGTATAATATATATATATATATATATATATATATAATTATTTATAGAAAGCAATATATTTAAATTATTTAAAACAATTAATTAAAATAATCTCAAATTAAATGATTTTATATTTTAATGTATTTTTTAGGCTTATGGAGCTCCAGCAGACAAAATTGATGACAGTACTAAAACTGCGAAAGACTGGACGGACTCCATAAAGCAATCATTCGAGAAAATACAACCAGGATTGGAAAAATTTGGACAAGATACGAAAAATTTCTTTAAAGACACATACGCAACTATTTCAGATAAATTTAAAAAAGTTATTCCTAAAACCGAGAATTAAAATATTTCCCATAGATTGTTATATATGAAACGTATTACAATATTTTTTGACCAGTGATGTATACTTATTCAATATTATAATATAATTTATAAATGATTATATTATTTATTTCAAATGTATTTCTGTGAAGTACGAATTAAATTTTTCACATAAATGTAATCTTCTATTTGTATTAAAAAAAAATGTGAGCCGCATAATAAACACTTACGTGCAAATTTTCATTGATTTTTCAAAAAAAAAAAAAAAAAAAAAAAAAATTGTACGAAGCATTTCATTTGTATATAAATAAATAGTTATATAAATTATTCTTTTCTTATAAATTAAAGATATTTATATCGAATGAAATAAAATGTAACCATACTTTTTAAAAAATAAAGAATACAAGAAGAATTTTATTGTTATTATGAATATAGTATAATTAGCCAAGTCTATTAAACATGAAAAAAAAATTTTCAGAATTTTTAAAATATACGTAATTTTTTCGAGCACAATCAAAAGTAATTGATAATAAAAAAAATTTTATGTTGAAAGCATTATTTTTTTTTTACAAATTGCATATTGCTACTTTTTTAATTTCATAATTATTCAACTTGATATTTTATTGTTAAATAAAAAAATTATAGTTTTTAAAACACATTATTTTTATTCAATTGAAAATTATAATATTGTTTCTTTTTCAAATATAATTCCATAAAAAAAAATAATTTAATTTCAATCAAAAATTTGTTAAATATTTTACTTTGCAAATTATTACTATAAACTTTTCAAATAATGGAATAATTTATTATTGATATAAAAATTTAGTTTGAAAATTAGAAAAATTTGACATCGACAAACTGTATTTTCATATATATATATACGTATATATATTGTATACTAAGATCATTGTGACAGATAAGAAAGACATATTGGTTCCAGAGGTCACAAAAGCATTTAATTATACCGACATATAAAAAAGTCGTTATGGAAATTATATATACAAAAAAAGAATAGAAAAAAATGCTGAACACGTGAATTATTTGTTCGCTGACAATCACGAAAATGTTTAATTTCTTCTTTTATAATTATGTATATAATTCATTTTAACTTTATATATAAAAATTATTAAAATTTTCCAACCTGTTTATTATACGGTTCACAAAGGTATTATAAATTAAAAAGTCCAAAACTAATATAGACATATTTAAAAAATATAATTTTTAACTAATTCGTCAAAAGAATTAAATATAAAACTCAATAAGAGAAATATTTTTGAATAAAGAAAAAAATGACTGATTTTATTTATATAAATTTATATAAGTGCAATTTTTGTCGATAAAGAGTATTTTATAAAGAAATGTTTATGTAAAAAAAAAAGCTATTAGATAATTCTCAAGGGTCCGATTGATAACTTCTAAGTCATAGTTAATAAATCTTATTCAAAAATATACAAAATTTGATTGAACAACATTTGCAAAATAGCAAACAAAAAAAATTTTTTAAATGCAAATAAAAATTATATAGGCCAATTATAGGATCAAATTAGACAATTAAAAAAAATTAAAGAGTTTAATTTTGATCCCAGTTACGAAATTATTAACTATATATTACTTTTTTCATTGAAATAAAAAAAAAAATAAACAAATTTCGACTTCAATAACAATTTAAATAATTTAGGTGATTTGTTTTTTCTAGCAAATTTTCTAGAAAGTAATCTTATTACATGTCATTAAAAAAAAAGGAGGGGTGGGAGGCAAAGCCCTGTAATAATGTTTTCCAAGCTTAATAAGTGGCACTTTGCCCCGGTTACAGCGATAAAGATTGGCTATAAAAGGAAGTGACTAAGATTTTGCAGCATCAGTTCATTTGTAATATTCTAGCGAAGAGATTTATCAGTTTAATTCAACTATAGCTGTAAAAGCAACCATCAGAGTTCATCATGAAGAGCATTTTACTATTTTCAATTGTTTTGGCAGTAGCTTCTGCAGCAACAATTCAAAGGACTCGAAGAGATACTAATCAACCTGCTCAAGAGGCAACTGCTTTTGAAAATATTGTAGCATCATTCCAAACTGTTGGAGATAATTTAAAATCTTCACTTGAAAAAGCTACCAAAGAGGTAGGCTCTTAATTTTAAATTCTTAATGAATTTTAGATACTTATTAACAATTTTTTTTTTTTTTTTTTTTTTTGTATAAAAAATGTAATATTTTATAGTATAATCAAATTATTGACTTTTTTCTATAAAATAAAAATGTTATTAAATATTTAAAAAAAATTAATAAAAAGGATTTATTTATTAATTAATTTAGTAATAAAAATTATTATTATTCTAAAACGAAAGGCAAGAACTATTTAGAATAAATAATAAATAAATAATAATTTATTTAATTGACTTGGAAATTTCTTAATAAGAAAGAAAATTGTCTATTCGTTAGAGAATGACTAAAAACAATTTTTTTTGCTTCATATATTATTTTCTTTTTATAACAAAATTTTTGTTTGTTTTTTGTTAACGTTGCATGAATAAAATTTAACCTTCTTCAAATATTATTATTACTATTATTTTTGCTAAAAATTTCAGTTCAATGTCTTTATCAAATTAAAGATTCAAGTTGTTGAAAAATTTGAATAATGTCACAGAGATCACGTCATATATTAATATTGTATCATATACCCTTAAAGAAAAAAATTTCTAATCACAAATATTCATTATGAAACTGGGTGAAATATATATATATAAAAAAGTCTATCAGTTTCATATCTTAGCAACTTTGCACTAAAATTGATAAGTAAATTAACCTCTGAACTATTTCATCCGGGTTTAAAAATCTTTTCACCATATTCCTATTTTTAAAATTTATAGTCATCTGAGTTGATAAAAAGTTATAGGAGTGGCAATTTTTTTTCTCTAATAACAATATTATTGATTTTATAGAAAAGCAATATATTTTATGACGAATTTTATTAATAACAAATTATTTAAAATTTTTAAAACTTTTTTTTTTAAATTAAATTTTGAAAACAATTTTTTTTAAATTTTAATTTCAACAAATTCTTAACAGTAGTTAAGTAAGAAATATTCTATTAAGAAACTAATTTGACGATTTAAAATTAAGACAATAGTTTAAATGTAATTGACCTTATAATTTAAATTGTACTGTTAACTTATTTTTTTTTTTTTTTTTTGAACGAAAACTCGAGACCTTCCTAGCATGAATAATGAATAGCTGAGAAAATATTCGCATATAACTCATTTTTTCAAAATTAAATGCATTACATAATGTGTGAAAAATCACAGAACTTATGTAATATTTATGAAAAATCTCTGATTATAACTGAAATAACTTCAGTTAAGTATATAATAGAACTTTTGAATTAGTTTTTAATTGTAAAACGTCATTATATATTTATAATCATATCAAGGTCATCAAAAAAAAACTTAAAGAAGCGATAACTGAATATATAGTGCAAAAAACCACTTATGCAACATCAGTTATTTTTGCACAATATATTTCTTATTTAATAATTCGTAAATTAAATATTTTTGCAATTCATAATTTTAATTTTTTTGTTAAAACGATAAATTTTAACTGATAAAATTGAAAAATTATTGACAAATTGATAAACGAGCGTAACGTTTAGGACAATTTTCTTCAACTGATAATTGAACAACATCTAGAATTAAAAGTAATCTTCTCAACAGTTTAATGAAACATAATTATTTCCTTCCTTTTGCATAGAATTGTAATTTATATATGTATAGTTTAAGCCTTTTAAATCTCTAATCTCTAACTCTAACATATTGTAATGTTTAAATCAAACTTATTTTTATGTAATAAAAATATTTTAAGTTTTAATTCAAATGTATATCAATGAATATTAGATATTATAATAGAATTATTATTAAAAAATAATAAATATTATTTAAAATAAAAAAATCAAATACCTTTTTTTCCAACTAGTTTTTCATTAATATTCGTTTTTGTTTTAAGTTTCAAGAAAAGAATCCAGAAGTACAGAAGTTGTTAGATACCGCGAAATCTTCAATCCAAAAGAGCGTTGAAGACTTCAATAAACAATTTCCCGATGCACAGGAAAAATTTAAAGAACTCCAAACAAAAGGCCAGGAAGCTCTCTCAGTCGTGGTGAAAGAAGCTGAAAAAACATATAAAAATGTCAGTGATCAATTAAAAACAGCAATAGAAACAAAAAACTAAAAATTAAAAAGAGAAAACGACATTCTTTAATAAAGAGAACAAACAGTAAATAAATGCACTTGTCAAAGAATTTGAAATCAATATTGTACGAATTATATCTCGTATTAAAAAAAAACTTGATATAAACAAAGTGCTTTTAATGCTGTATAAAATTATTTCTAAAGAACTATTGTTTTATACAAAATAAATAAATAAAGTAAACGAATTGTTACCACAAAAATGTGTTTTGGTTCAATTTTTTCTATTTAAAAATTTTTTTTTAATAATTAATTTATTGATTAAGTATAGTTTAATTTATTTTATTAACACATGAATTTCAGATAATTTACAAAAATTGATAAAAGGCAAAATCTTATAAGATTATCGTATATCATATAATTTCTAAATAATTAAAACTTCTTTAATTATAAATTATCTGATAAGATCGTGATCATGTTTATAATTTTTTTCCGGTATAAGCTGAAGCTTCAATATTTTTTTTTGTCATAAATTTTGAGAGTACAAAAAGAGTGTCACGTTTGTATTCAGTAACAATAAAAAAAAAAATTCTGTTTTCTAAAATAATATATATAAAATAAAAAAAAAATATAAAGAAATGTGTATAATATATAAGAGCACATTTAAAAGTACGAATGTTTAATTATAAAATTTTTAAACTATCATGTTCATTTTTTTACCTAAATTTTATTATTATTTTATCTATCAATATGGTGGACGTCCGATCGTGTAATTTTGAAATTTTTAAATATCATCCATGTCAAATGCAGGTTTGTCATTATTTAATTATGATTTAATTTATTATTCATCTTAAATATTATTATCAAAAAAGATATAATTTTTTATTGTTATTTAAAATATTTTTAAAAATTTAACAAAAGATTAAAAATAAATCTTTTGAATGTGGGCTTAAAATTGTGTTGCGAATATTTTTTTAAATAGTATATTATTTTATTATTATACGTTATTAAAAAAAGTCCATGTAATCGTCAAAAGAACGAGATATAATAAATTCTCCGAGGGGAAACGATCATAACTTTTAGGTTGACGAAGAAACTTTATACATATATTTATATGTATAAAAAAGTGACTATTTTAAAATCATTTGCTATTTTATACTCATTTTTAGTTATCTTCTCCAGATTTATACGACCGGTTTTTGATGAGACTAAATCGAAAATATTCAAAAGACGATATACACTTCCTGTGCAATCATATTATTAAATTATTGGACTATCATACAAAGTTATGGATGAAAAATCTCTTAAAATGTTCTTAAGGTTTATCAAATAATAGTTTATAATTTCACCAATACGTAAAAAAAAGTGAGTATATATATATAAATAATAATAAAATTAATTTATGTGAATATTTGTTCCAAAAAGAATATATTGCAATAAAACTATATTATTTCAGATTACAAAGGAAAACTTATAATCAATTTAAATGAAATTCTCATGAATTTAACGATTCTTTTTAATAAAGAACATTTCTCGAAATTGAATTATAAATTTATTTGTTAAAAATAAATCAATTTAAACAATTATTAAAGAATATAAAGTGTTTTGATTTCACAATTAATTTCTCTTTATTTTCTGTGAGATAATGAAATATTGTTTTATTTATTGGTATATTTAATATTAAATTTGAACATTACTGAAAGTCAGTTTCAAAATTAAAAATTTTTTATTATGTTTAATAATAATTAATTATTATTTATTGTATCATAATTAAGCTAAGGGATAAAGAAAAAAATATATATAATTATATTTTTAATAACCAGAATTTATTGCAAATACCAATCAAAAGACATATTTCTGCATCAGCAAAAATTTGCAAGGTAGTTATAATTATTTATGCTTTGTGACATTGTCAGACGAAATGTGCAAAGTGACTGATTAATCAAGAGATTTATTTTGTTATTTTCCAACTCTATTTAAATAGTATTCTTTCACTATACTTTAATTAAAAATTTAAGAATATGAGGACAACATTTGCCATTTTTTTCATCTTAATTATTTATATTGTAAGTACTTTATACATACATATTATTATTACTATTTAATATTTTTTTTTTTTTATTATTATGTTGTATGCTAGAATATTGTTTCATTAATTAATTAATTTATTTTTTCAAAAAGGTATCAATTTTTGCATTTGAATTGAAAAATAAAATAACAAAGGAAGAGACTTTTTTTGATAAATTGACATCAAGAAATATAAATAAAGATAAATTTTCTACGGAAAGAGTAGAAAGAGGTGATTCAGAATATGAAAAAATGATGCAATTAATGAATATTATTGGAGTGGTTGACAATTTTATCACAAAAAAAACTAAAAATTTTATTCGAAGATTGACTGCCGTTTATGAACATGACGATCCTGATACAAATTAAAAGAAACTTTTTTTTTAATTAAAAAAATGTTATTTATATTATTATTATTGATTATTGTTATATTAATTAATTAAACAATCACGATAGTCAACATTTTTTGAATAGAAATAAAAATCTTGTATTTTATATTAATAAATTATAATTAATTTTTAATTAAAACTTTTAAATGATATTTCTCAATGATAAAATATAAAAAAATTAAAACATTCCGAAATTGAGCAACGGATATATGAGAATAAGTGGGGAGGGGAGGGACAATGAGACAGTTGCAATCAAATTAAATAATAAAGAGCATTTCACTTATTTGAAATTTCATGAAAAAGTATAAATTCTTTTCAGAATCAATGTATAATGTAGTTAAAAAAAATAACTCACCTTTTTCAATAATTGTGCTTGTATTATAATAATAATTTATTTTCATTAAATACCTTATTGTGCTTGTATTTTCTTAACTTTAATTTTACTTTAATATTAAAAAATGATTCGCCAATTTGTAATTTTACTATTCTTTCCATCTTGGATAATGACCATTGATTATTGTTCAATTTGTAGTGATCATACAATGTGCAAGTTTAAGGTAAGTACCTGAAAAAATAAAAAAAAAATTTAGAATCTCAAATTATATAAGAAAATAAATATTTTTAAAAATCTTAATTAATATTGATCAATCAAAGAAGTAGAGAATTGATATTACATTAGTATAATTAATTTAAATTAATTTATTGTATTACTTTAGAAAATTATTATTACTTTTTTCAAAGTTAAACAAATATTTAGGGGCCAGGAGCAGCTTGTGGACATGATAAAAAAAGCGGAATTTCAAATGATGAAATTCGAGAAATTTTAAAAATACACAATAATTTTCGTTCAACTGTGGCTTTGGGCAAAGAAAAACGAGGACTTCCAGGACCACAACCATCAGCAGCTAATATGAATGCATTAATTTGGGATGATAATTTGGCTGAGGTAGCACAAAGATGGGCGGATCAATGTACTTTTCAACATGATTTGTGCCGTCAAGATCGTGAGTATAAATATAATTTTTCTAAATTTATTTTTAATATCAACTAAACATTCATTTTTATTTATTTATTTTTTTTAATATTTTAAAAGCTCGCTTTCAAGTTGGTCAAAATATATACTTCATTACTGGATCAACAACAGGAAATTGGACCGATGCAATATCACTTTGGTATCAGGAAGTAACACAATTTGATTCTCAAACTGTGGATAAATTAATATTTCAATTTACAACTGGACATTACACTCAAATGATATGGGGAACTACTCGTTACATAGGATGTGGAAAAACATCCTATAGTGTATCTTATAAAGCTTTAGATTACGAACAACAAGAATATATTTTATCATATATACCACAAAATCAATCACTCACAAATAACACATATTTATATAGAAATAATGTATCATTCTCAAATTCACATCTTCCAGTAATTATTTATATTTATTAATTTATTACAAAACGATAAATAATTTCAAATTAAATAATTTAATTTCAATCCTATTTACAGTTAAGTAACATTATTAATGATGATGGAAAACATAATTTTCGAGAAAATTTATCACATATCCGAATGAGAAAATCAACTGTAGATGAATGGATACATACCATGTATAATATTAAAGGAAGAAATCACATTCTTGTTTGTAATTATGGACCAAGTGGAAATTTCTACTATCAACCAATTTACATCAGAGGTAAACCTTGTTCGCAATGTCCTTTAGGATTTCGATGTATAAATGGATTATGTACCTAAAATTCGAATCAAGAATTATAATTTTTGAATACGAATTGAAAAGCATCATAGCACCATTTCATGAAAGAGAGAATTTTATTTCCAAAAACAGATAAAACACGTGCAAAAGCAAATTAGACAGTACATAACCTAAAAGTCATTTTAGATGAAGTGTTCTTTTTTTTACTCAACATCAAAGTAAAAATTCAAATCAATAAATGATTTCTCACTACGAAATTATTTACTTAAATTACAATTAATTTAATTGAGATTTATATATACAGTATAATAAATATGAGAAATTTACTTACATTTTCAATGCGCTAAAATCACATTGAAATATGACACACGCATATTTATTAAAAGTTTACACTAATTAGATTTTTTTTTAATTTTCAAAATTTGAAAGAAATCTACCAATAGTTTATCATTTACTGATATGTAAACACGAAAAATAGAGCAGTTAAAAAATAGAAATTAGTAAAATATTCTTTTAAATTTAAATGACGGTTAATCACTGTGACGTACACTGTGAAAGTTACAACAAGTGACAACAAACGCCATCTGTAATAAAAATTCTCAACCTTTGTGACAAAAATCACTAACGCCATCTAATCGATAAAATATGAAATGGATACATAAAATAGAGTTTTGTCAAAATTAAATTAAAAACACAATAGAAAAACAATAAGTAAATTGCTATATTTAGTTATTATCTTTAATATATTTTTCATAATAAAGTACGATAATTTTGTTATACGTGATTTCATTGATTATTTTGTCAACAAAACAGTTACCTTTAAGTGGTGTGACATAAAACGATGCAATTTGGTAAGTATTTATTCTTTTATTTAATACCGAATTATGATTTATATTTAATTGTTTTATCCAACATTGGCTACACGCGATACAATTCTTATCTCGCTTATCTCATTTCCCAAGTTGTCTACTTCCTCAACATATATATATTTTTTTTATATATATATACATACAAAAACAAAAATCAGAAAAATCCTCTCTGTTTTCATTACGTTGAACTTTCACCAGATGGCGAACTTCAACAGTCACCGGGATCGGTCCGAACGGTCGACTTGCTGATATTTTATAGTTCGCCACATGTTGATTAATTAAATATATCTATATTATTGCGACGAGTGTCAAAAATCGGGGGTGATAATATTCGTTCCAAGGATTCCGTCGAAACACGGAATTCTCGTTGGGGCGAATTCGCGTTGGCTCAAACGAAAAATCGAGTTACGTCACGCACATCAGTAGCAGCAGCACGAAGCACAGCATTCGTGTTCGAGTTGATTTCAACGGTGCGTCCCCTCGTACTCAAGTTTTCTGTTTTTCACAAAAGTGACATTAATCAGAGGCACGCACGCGCTTATTTCGTTGATCGTCATTTCGAATTTATTGGATTCGTGATTTTGGATATAACCTAAAAAGACGGAAAGCGGATGTCTTGAAAGCAAAGACGAGGTGACTGCGCGCTGCCTCTTGTCAACCACTTTGACGAGAAGGGGGTACAACTTTACGGTGCGTCCATTTCACACACCACCCGCGCCGATTTCCGATTTCCCCGCCTTTTCTGAGCAACATTTTCCCCTTTTTTTTCACCCCCTATTCCCCCCAAACAAAGAAGTCATTAACTTGTCGTTTTGACAATATATTTTTTGGCATCAAGGTATAACCGGGAAATTTGCCAAAATTCCGGTCCCCACTAGGAAACGAGAAGGCCCCCAACAAACCGGCGGCAGGAATCCATCTACTGAAGAGGATACATCGTCCGCTGGCAGGATGAATAGCAAAAGAAAGAATCGTTCAAACACTACCACTAGGTAAGAATATTATAAACAAAATTTGAATTCAATAATATACTTATTATTCTTGAAAAAATTTATTTTTCCAAATTATTATTTTTAATATTTATTTGTTGTTTTTCTCGTGATACTAGATCCCCGCGGGCCAGGGAAAGGAGTGTAGCAGCTGAGGGTGTTTATAATAATGCACATTTTATGCATGCAATCACAAGTCATGTTGGAAACGTTGTGCAGGTATAAAAAATTTTTAGTTTTAAGAGATTTATTAATTTGATAATATCTATGGACAGAAATTAAAGTTTAGAAAGTTGACCTCAACATTAGCAGACGATTCAGAAACCATGTTTTTCAACTACAGATTTCAATTTACCTCATCTGATTTATAATCTTAATTGCTGTCATTATTTGTAATTCGAATATTAACAAAAAGTGTGTTTTTTCTCATAAATGCTAAATTCTAATTTTCTTTTAAGTATATAATTAATGCATTAGAATTGAAAGTAAGAAAATTAAAAGAGAAAATTAATACTTATATATTCTCATTGTTTATCAATATCTGATTCAGTGCTTCTCTCTTATAAATTATGGTTAATGACCTTTGGAAAATTTCGATTGTTATTTAGATTCGTTATATGTACTTGAAAATTTTGACAACATTCAAAAAGTTGATTGAAATATAAGATAATTTGACCTTGAATATCTTGATTCATTTATTGTTAAAATTAAATGAAATTGGTATTTAAATTTTTTAATATTTGATGTTAACATTTATTATCTATAAATACTATGAAATATTAAATAAATTTTTAAGAGAAAATTTTTTTTTTTTTTTTAAATAACATTTTTTAAAATATTTTTTTTCATTGACAGATACAAACACAAAATGGTTCAATATATGAGGGAATATTTAGAACTTTTTCCAGTCAGTTCGATGTTGTTTTGGAAATGGCTCATCGAGTTGATACAGATGGAAAAATTAGTGTGGAAAGTGTTGTAGAAAAATTGATTTTTAAACCCCAGGATATTATAACAATGACTGCTAAGGATGTAGATTTGGATTATGCTATAAAAGATACATTCCAAACTGATACAGCTATTAGTAAATTTAATGGTCTAATACGTCAAAGAGAATTGCAGCCCTGGGAGGCTCCAACTACTGTAAATGGTGATGACTTTGTATTGGAAGGGGGTTCTGTAAGTGTTAAAAATAACAAATTGTTTTATAATTCTTTAAATTGGAAAAACAATTGCACAATTGTAAACATCACTTTCTTTTACAGAATGGATGGGATGTTAACGAGATGTTTCGTACGAATGAACAAATATACGGAGTTCAATCTACTTTCGAACCCTCCTTGGCTGGATATACGTTGCAACTTCAGCGAAAGGATACAAAGGATTACAAGGATCAGGAACAAAGAGCGGCAGATATAGCACACGAGATTGAATCACAGCCAAATTATAAAGCTCGTTTAGATCTTGAGAATGGCGATGAAGAAGAAAGATTCGCAGCAGTGGTTAGTTTTGTCGCTCTTGTTTTTTTTTTTTTATTTTATTTTTTGTACGATACATTTTTGAGAGAAAATATTTAATTTTACTTGAAAAATTACAGTTAAGGCCGAATGAAGGTAAATATGTGCCGCCAGCAAAAAGGAAACATATAAATACTGGAAAACTAGTGCGATCAACTCCGCCACCAGTTTCTCCTGGACCAACAACAAATAAAAATACTTTCAGTCAGCCACCTCCATCAAATTCACCATCTTCAAATCCACCATCATCAAACGTGAATATTTCACAGCCGACAAACATTCCAGTGGGCATAACTGCGCATCCATCATCACAAACACATTCAATCCCCATAAATACAGGGATGCCAAGTGGTGTAATTGTTAATTATCCTCCACCTTTTGTGCCAACGCCTACAACTCAACCACCACCAAGTGCAGGAATTTCTGGTTTGTTTTTAAAATTTAAATAAAAAAATTTCATTCCTTTTACATGTAAAATATTATCTCTCTCCTCTTTTTTTTTTAGTTGTACCATCAGCGCAATCTCAATCACAAACTACATCTTCGATTCCGCAAATTGCTTTCTCTCAGCAGCAGCAACAACAATCATCACAATCATCGCAGAATAATGTCAATACTGAAAAACGCGAACGACCCGGTCGACAGCTACATCAAGCTGATAAAGCACCACCAGCACCATTTCCCCAAGCAAATATTGCTTCACATCAACAACAAATGCAACACGCATCTCATCCTCCAATTCAACAACAGAATTCCATTGAAGCACAGAGATGTGAAATTATTCCTCCCAAGACGGAGCATAGAAAGGTTAGCGATTAAACTAAATTATAAAAAAATTTTATAAACATTTCATAATATTAGTGATTACAGATATGAAAATCTGTAATTTTAATTATATTTTTCATTTAATTTTTTTTCATCTACATTTGAAACTTGTAACCTATTATGACAATTTGTCATCTATTTCACATTTTTTCAGTTATCAAATTAAACAATTTTTTTTTACAAATTTGTTTTTATTTTGTTTATCCGACTTTGCAATTCCGTCTTTTATAAATATTTCTGATTGAAAAATTGTCATTATTTTCGAAATTTCATTTTTGTTTTTGTTTTTTTTTTTGTTTAAATTTAATCTTTTATTACAAATTTTAAAAATAAATTTAATTTAGGACTTGCTTTCTTCTTTAGTTAATTTTTTTGAAAAGTTCTTTAATTTCTTTTTATTCATTCAAAAGAAATTTAATTTTGTTAGAAGATTAATATTTACGTTTAAATTATTTTTATTCTTTAAATAATAGTTGTTTTGCATTGCCCGTAAATTATAAATAAATAAATAGGTTAAACTTTTTTCAAAGATATTGAAATTTTTATAAAGAAACCGAAATATTGTAAATTCATTTTTCTAAAAAATGAAAATGGATGTTTTAGATATTTTTTAAATATGTTGTTTCTCTAAAAATGAAATATTACAAATTTTTGTCTTTGAAGATTTTAAAACAATTTTTGATTTAAAAGAAATTAATATTTCTGATATAGAAAAAAGTTTTTTTTTTACGAATTTTGGAATAAATTTTTTTTTTTTTATAACGAAATCCAACTTACAGGTTCTTATTTAAAATATTAGAATATTAGAAGATAGAAGGAACGATTTTATCTTTTAGATTACAACACCAAGAGGAAGAGATGAACATCACGCGGATTTGGCACAATTTTCACGTGACTTTAAACTTAGTGAAACGCCAGCTCAAGAGACACCGCCTATTACGAGAAAACATCAACAATCACAGCATCAAGAGACACATTCCACACCGGTACAACAACCTGCTCATCATCAATCAACTCATCAACATCAAACTTCTCCCCAAGCTCAAACACAAACTCCACAAGCCACACATCAATCACATCAATCACATACACCACATCAACAATCTGTGTCCGAGAAGCCATTAGTCACCTGTAAACCACCCCCGCTTCCAATTCCCGTTCAGACTAATTCTCCTCCTCAACAACAACAACAACAACAGCAGCAACTACAACAACAACAACAACAACCACCACCACAGACAACTCCATCGATTCCAGTTTCGGAACCGGCTGTCGATAAAATAACAACTGCTTTTAAGAAATCTACATTGAATCCAAATGCTAAAGAATTCAATCCGAATGCTAAACCGTTCACACCGGTAAGTGTTGTAAATTCGATTAAATACAAATTTCATATTTAATAGATATTCTAATTTATGAAAATTATATTTATTTTAGCGATCTCCGAGTACACCAACACCAAGCAGACCTCACACTCCTCAAACACCACAATATAGTGGCGCTGCAATGTCTGCTACTGTTGTAATGCCAGCGTATGTAATGACAAGTCAACCACCCACTGCTTTCACACAACCCCCAACCCAACCTGTTACAAGGTTCCGGAAGGGTCAGTATCTAGGTATAAAACGTGTCATCATTTCTACAATTTTATTTAAATTATTGTTGCTTTTTAAGTAAAGGAATTTTTAATGGGATAATCTCATAAAAAAACAATAGATAACCTTTAAAAAAAAAGCATAGGTAATAATTTTCCTCTTAATTGGTTTAACACATCCAGGCCAAGAATATTAAAATTCAAAATTTAAATCTTATACTTAAAATTTTCCTTTAATAATAATGAAAAAAATTGACTGCCTAAATGTGCTGGACCAAAAAAAAAAAATTGATGTAAATTAAATAAACGTCCGCGATGTTTTCACAGTACCCATGATGCCACATCGCGCGCCAGACATTGCATCACAAATGCAAGTGGCAGCGGCAACTGGACAACCATTACTTGCTCCAGCGCCTCTGCATCCACCATTCCAGGTGCCTTATCCAAGTCAACAAACTTATCAACAAATGGTGCGCATGGTACAAGCGCCACCACCACCGCCGCACATGGGAACGCCTTATCATCATCATCATCATGAATCACCAGGTCCCCAAGCACCAGGACTTCAGTATATGGGACCACATGGTCATCCACATCATGTTGCACAGCAACCACCTAGCCAAACACCATCACCAGCTAATCCCAATCAATCACATACTCCAGGAGCCTATAATCCTCCAGGTACACCACAACCATCATATCCTCAACCACCACCACAAGGTCACGCAGCAACCTATCCCATAATGTGTCCAATTATTCCTCAACATTTACCTCTACCTCCTCAACATATGCAATACCTTCCACCCCAACCACCTGGACAAACTATACCAGTTATTCTCCCTCATAATCAATAGCTGCTTCGAACAATCAATAGAGAATGAGAGGGTTTATATAGTATTCAGCAAAGATATATAGGAAAAAGAATTTAAATTTTTAATATTAAAAGTCAACTCACTATTGATATTCGCTGTTGTTTCATCAACTCGAGTTTAATTCGGCTCTTTTTCCTATTTACTGCCATAAAAACACTTCTCTGGCCTAGTTCAAGGCGATTGTTGCCTGGAAACATTTTCCAAGCTCATTATTCAAAATAGAGAAGCTAACAGAAATGAATATTATTAATCAAAAAAAAAAAAAGAAATTAAATAAAAAAAAGCCGAAACTCTAATAACAAAACAGCGCGCGAGACCTATATTGAAAACGATTTTCAAGTTGACTTTTATATCGAACTGGGTTACGTCAATATTACAACGCAAGAATTTCAAAAAAATGAAAACGCGTCAAGTGTAACTGAAAGTATCCCATCACTTTGCGACAATTTTATTTCACCCTCCAACTCTTGACTACATACGTTCTATACCAAAGCAAAAAAAAAAAAAAAAAAAATACAAACAAACGAGACAATTTACAAGAAATTACGAAAAAGGAAGTCGATGTTTTTTTTCTTAAACTGGCTTTAAGAATTGCACACGTCTATTCTTTTTTTTTTTTTTTTTTGAGTGTTATCCCCCATTTAACGAGATAAAAAAAAACTCGTTTTAATCAATAAGTTTAAATTCGCCTATTCACGAGTTTAATCTTTCTTGAGTTTCAACTCGTATTTTTGTGGGTTAAAACTCGTTAAACTTTCAACACGACTGAACGGAAATAAAGAAAAAAAAAAAATTAGGTTCCAAAATAAAAAAAAACATTTTCAGCAGAATTAACTATCGCACCCTTTCTCTCTCTTCATGGATATTATTTCTTTTTATAGTGAATTTTTGAAAGAAGAAGTTTTGCGATTATTTTCAATCACGCGTGATCTGCTGAATAATAATGATTGTGTAGAAAGAAAAAGAGGATAAAATTGTTGAGATGAGAAAAAAAAAAAAGAAATGTTAAGATCGCTAATCGAAATCCATTCTCATCGAAATATTAGAAAAGGTAAAAAAAGTGCGTAACACAGGGTGTTTAAAAAAGATCGCAAGCTCTGTGAATTGTTGATATTGAGTTTTGTTATGGTTCTTGTAAAAAAGAATTAGGAAAGCAAATGGCTCACATGGTTTCTCAAATTCTTACACATAAATATGGGATTCCTGCATTTTTCTCTTTAAAAAAAAAAAAAAAAAAACAAAAAACAAAAAAAAAATATCGAACGATATCGCGAAATCAATAACACGTGTTCCCTATATTAAAAAAAGGTACAGTAAAAAAAAAATTTAATAGAAATGCTTTTAAAAAGTAGATAATTGCAAAATTGACAATTTTTTTAAAACAAAAATAATTCAAATTCAATAGTCCCAATTTCACAGATAATTTCTTTAAAAAAATATGTACATTAAGTTTTAAATAAAATTTAAATTAATATATCTTATTATTCAAATGAAATGACAAAATGCTTTTCAAGTTAAATTACTTATTCATTTTAGACATCGTTTTTCCATTAGAAAACAAAAAATAATCTATACCAATTTTTTTTTATTTAAAAATTTTTGTGTAAAGAAAAATAAGCATGATTTTATCCACAAACAATAAAACTAAAAGAAATGATTAAAAATTAATTAAAAAAAAAAAAATCCGTAAATAATTGTTAAAATTTTCTGTAATTTAAGACAAAAATTTGTAAATAACAAAACCTTGTATTCAGTTGATCCTTCAAAATGTGTTTGTTAGAAATGAAAAAAAAAATGCATCTTAATTATTGTCACGGAAAAAATGAAAGGTCTGCTTCCACACGTTAAACTATCTTTTAGGTACTACGACATTGCGTTCTATTTTTTAAAGGTGCTAAATTTGCACTAGGTAACTTAAAATCTGTACCTAAGGAAAGAATCGCATATCGTCAGATATCGTTGAAAAAAAAAAATTATCTTTTACGGCCTTAGACCTAGTCGTGTACATAAGATGGGAAGGTAGGGAACGATCCTCATTTGGAAGGTTCACTGCGTGGTATCGTTAGACACAAATTTTATATCGAAGAGATTTAAACTTGAAAAAAAACATCAAAATAAAGTAAAAACTTTAAAAGCCAAATGAGAGGAGTTTTTTTTTCTTCATTCCTATAATCTTGATCCTTTTATTTTTAATAAGAAAAACTTTGGGAAATTTTTCGCAATTATTTAAAATAATTTTTGTATAAATGTGAAACTTTATTTTATAAATAATCGATTTTTTTTTTACAACTTTCGGCAATGAAAATTAAAAACTTTCACCTAGAGGTTTAATTGTCAATTCTGTTATTTGAACACGTGGATGTGTACCCAAAATATAAATAATTGCTTCTGAAATATCCTCCTGTTCCATGATAGGCGCATTATTCACCAACGATAGAGTAGGTGCATCCTTATTATCCATAATCAATGAATTTGTTTTTGTGAAACCTGGACTAACACTCTAAAACAAATAATATTGATAGAAATATTTATTAATTCATTTTTTTTTCATTTAAGGAAGAATATAATTTTCTTTCTTTCGAATTTTAGATATAAAAAAAAGTAGGAATATTTACCGTCATTCTTATTTTACTTCCAATTAATTCTAATTCTAAAGTCGTTGTTAATGCAGTTAATGCAAATTTTGTTCCACAATAGATATTTGATTCCCATCCTACTGTTCGCACTACTCTGTGTCCATCAACGCTAAAAATGAAAATAACTTTTGCAATTTTACATAAAAATTAACAAAAACAATAAAAGAAAAAATTGTTTTCTTTGGTAAAATTAAAAATTAGTTTATTATTTAAATTAATAATTTGATTAAATTGTACGAACCTGTTAATATTTATTATATGACCTTCTTCACCAGATTCTTTTAACATTTTTATTGCTTGTTGACAGCAATATAATACTCCCAGTATATTTACGCCAATAACTTGTTCCCAAATTGCCTGATTGGTATCTGAAAATTTAGGAAATTATTATATTGAGAAAATAATTATCATTTTATTATTGAAATATTAAAATAATATTATCAATTATTTTATAGTAATAAAAAATTATACCTATTATATTTCCCTCGAATGAAATACCAGCATTATTGATAACAACATGGACAGTGCCTAAATTTTTTTTTATCCACTGAAAAACTTGAAGAACATCTTCTTCCTTGGAAACATCACATTTCAGTGCATAAAATTTTCCTTTACCTTTAACATTTTTCATTTCGTTCTAAAAAAAAAAAAAAAAAATTGCAAAAACGAATAGATTATAGATTTTTAAGAAATTATTTTAATTTCTTATTTTTTACCTCTATTATTTCTTTCCTTCTTGATACTCCAACAGTAATCATTCCCCGTTTAAATAAAGTCTTGGCAACGTCTAATCCAATACCAGTAGAAGCACCAGTAACGAGAGCAACTTTTCCCTCCCAACGATTCATTTTTTTGTTTTTTTATAAACAAAAAAGAAAATTTAATAACTGTTATTCGAGAGAGAATTTAGCTAATAAGGTTCTATAATCGAAGAAGATTGAAAGCTATTATAAATTAAAAACACTTTTTTTTATAATTTATATACAATTTTTGTAGAATGACTTGCTTGAAGTAATGTATGAAAATTTATATCTGCATATTATCAGAGAAAATTTAAAATTCTAAAATTTTTTATCCATGGAATATTGAGCATATATTTTAAACTTTCTATTAATGATAATTTTTGGCTTTTCATTAAAATATAAAATCATTAAAATAATGATAATATACCCTGATTTTTTTTACACACATATAATATTATTTCATAAAATAAAAATTAGTTATAGTCTTGATAATTTTTCTTTTCTTTAATATTATTTTCAAATTTTAATTTATAAAAATTCGAAATAATTCTAAATATGACATTTTTAAAGAAATTAAAATCTTTCACCAAGAGGTTTAATTGTCATTTCTGTTATTTGAACACGTGGGTGGGTACCCAAAATATAAAGAATTGATTCTGCAATATCTTGAGGCTCAATATAGGGAGCATTTTGAAAACCACCAGTTTCTTGATTTACCAAATTTGTTTTTACAAAACCTGGACTAATACTCTGAAACAAATTGAATTTTTAAAGATATAGTATATTATGTAAATTTCAACATTTTTCAAAAAGAAAATTCATTTTTATATTTAAAAAAAAAAAATGTGAATATTTACCGTCATTCTTATTTTACTTCCAATTAATTCTAGTTCTAAAGTTGTTGTTAATGCAGTTATTGCCGATTTTGTTCCAGTATAAACATTTGAATTCCAATTATTAATTCGTACTACCCTGTGTCCAGCAATACTGAAAATAGTTTTTGATAATATTGAAAAATCAAATAAATTTTACAACTATTCGTAAAATAATTAGAATCTATTAATATTTTTTTTGGATAAATTATAAATATAAACCTGTTAATATTTATTATGTGACCTTCTTCACCAAATTCTTTCATCATTTTTATTGCCTTTTTACAACAATATAATACTCCCAATAAGTTAACGCCAATAACTTTCTCCCAAACTTCATTATTTGTTTCTGAAAATTTAGAAAATTATTGTATTAAATAATTGTTTATAATTATTGATATATTATATTTATAATAACAATATTAATATTTTTCATTATTGTTAATAACAAAAAATCACACCTATTATTTTTCCTTTAACTGTAATACCAGCATTATTAATAACCACATGGATATTGCCTAAATTTTTTCTTATCCACTCGAAAACTTGAAGGACATCTTCTTCTTTCGAAACATCACATTTCATTGCGTAAAATTTTCCCTTTCCTTTAATATTTTTCATCTCATTCTAAAAACATGAAAAATTATATAAAATTAGAAATAAATAAATTTTATACGTCTATAGATTGTTTAATATTTTTATTTTTTGAAAAAGAATAAAATTTTACGACAAACGCTTCTTCTAAACAATTAATTGAATAAAATTTGATTTGTATTTGTATTTTTTTAATTAAAATTAATTAATTAATTTTTTCTTAGGAGAAAACGTTTAATATTTTGATGAATTTGTTTATTTTTAAACCTCTATTTTTTCTTTTCCTCTTGCTATTGCGACAGTAATCATTCCATGTTTAAATAAAGTCTTGGCAACTGTTAATCCAATACCAGATGAAGCACCAGTAACGAGAGCAACTTTTCCCTCCCAACGATTCATTTTTTTGTTAATAAATAAAAAAACTTTAATAACTTGTTAATTAATTAAAAAATTCTCCCTCTTTCTTAATTTTTAATTAGTAATATTATTAATTTTAAAGTCGTGAATGTAACTTATTAGGCCTATAAAGAGAATTGAGAACTTTTAGAAATTAAAACACATTTTATAATAAATATTTCTTGACAAAATAATGACTTGCTTGTAACTAATGTATGAAAATTTATACATGCATGTTATCTGAAAAAATGTTAAATACTCAACAATTTTCTTTTTTACAATATTCAGTATAAATTTTCCATTTTTTATATATTTAAATGTTATATTATACTGATACTCTTATTACATTTTTTTTTTACAAAACTATAAATGGAACAGAAAAAATGTATTTAATTTGTTTTAAATGAAATTAATTACACTAATAATAATTGAATTTAAGAACCAAATACAAATTGTTCTTTAGAATAGAAATTAATTTTATTCTTAGAAAGGTACAGTATTTATTAGAATTATTTTAAAAGAGCTGCTCACCAAGAGCTGAAATTGTTAATTCTTTAACTTGTACCCGAGGATGTGTGCCCAAAATATAAATAATAGATTCTGCTATATCCTCTGTTTCTAAATATGGCTTATCTGACATAAGTTTTTCTAAATTAGTATTTTTTGCAATTGCTGTCTTAACGAATCCTGGACAAATATTCTAGAAAAATAAGCAATTCTTTTTAAAAATTTATAATCAATTATACGAAAGAAACTTATTTGAAATTAAAACAAATAAAAATTTCTTTTTAAAAAAATTTAATTACCGAAATTCTTATTTTACTTCCAAGTAATTCATGCTCTAAAGTTGTTGTTACTGCACGAACTGCATGTTTAGCTGCTGGATAAATATTTAATTGTAGTACTGGATCTCTAAATATTCTTTGTCCAGTATTACTGTAATTAGAATGACAAAGAAATTAATATGAAGAAAATAAATAAGAATGTAATTTAAAAAAAAAAAATCAGAAATTACCTGCATATATTAACAATGTGACATTCATCATCACATTCTTTCATAATTGACACTCCTTTTTGACAACAATTTAATAATCCAATTAAATTCGTATTGATAACTTTCTTCCAATCTGAAGAATTTGTATCTACAAAAATAAAAATTAATTATGCACGAATTTAATTTAATAAAATTCACATAATTACCTATTAGACGTCCTTCCACTATAATTCCAGCGCAATTCACAACAACACGAGGATAGCCCAAATTTTTTTTTACCCATTCAAATAATTCATTAACGTTTTCAGATTTTGAAACATCACATAAACGACTATAAAACTTTCCTCTTCCCTTGGTGCTTTTTATTTCACTCTAAAAAAAGAATTTTAATTTAAAATTTATTATGTATTTATTTTAAATTATGAAGATATTTTTTAAAAAAAAATGGTTTCATATACCTCCATTTTTTCTTTTTTTAGGTCAACTCCGACGACAATCATATTCTTAAGGACTAATGCATTTGCAGTTGCAAAACCGATTCCAGAATTAGCACCAGTTACAATTGCTATCTTCCCAGCCCAACGATCCATTTCGATTAATATTAAGGATTAAAAAGAAAAATTCTCAAAAAAAAAAACACAGTAAAACAAATGAATCAGTAATCAATTTTTGCTTGTTAACTTAAAATAATATTAATAGCTTCTTCATTGAATATAGACTTCTTTATATATTATCAAAGAAATGCATTTCATATTTATGTGTAATCTAAAAATTATACTTTGCATAAATTTACATGCATACATCACAATGAATTAGTAGATTTCAATTTGCGATGATAATACACAATATATTAAAGAAAAAAAGTATATTTATAATATAAAAAAATAATTATTTGCACTATTAAAAAGTCAATAATTATCGACAATAAGCTCTCATTGTTTTAAATATATTTTTAAAAAAAACTTCTTAATATTTTGTGTACAAATTACCGTAAATTCAGTCCAAGGTGATAATTTAATCTCCACATTGCATTAAAAAAGTGGTCCATCATCTTCTTAAATATAAATCTAAATTTTTAACCTACTGTATCCTCTAAAATATTAAAATACAAAATAAATAAATTCATACTAGCTAAATTTAATAAATCTCCAAAAGAATTTATAATTAAATACTAACCTATAACTTACATGTTGAAGTTTGGATTTTAGAATTGATTTATTCTGAAGGAAAGTCATTCTATAGGTTGATATTAATTAGTAAACTAATATTTTCTTGAACATTAATGAATAAATTCAGTAATTTAAAAATTTCCTTCAAAGTTGTTGACATTGTTGACAGTTTTGTATTTTTAACCTTAAAAAAGTACAACAATTCAATTGCGCATGCCAATAGTTTACTAAACGTTTCATTGGTTGATTCTTATAATTGTGATTTTTTAAAAATTATTATAATTTTCCCAGTAAAACAATTATAAAAATAATATTAATATTAATCAGATTATTTATTAATATATTATCGAATAATATAACTCAATATTCTTAAGTATAATTATTAAAAAGTAAAAGAAACAAATAATAAATATTTAATAATAGCAAATTGAAAATTTGAAATCAGAGTATTCTTGAAAAAATCATTGTAGCCAATCAGAGAACGAGAAAATATGCGGAAGTCACATGACCTGATGTGGACGCCATTTGTGAGAAAAGCTTGCAACAGGTCACATCTAGCTTCATCAACTGCCAGATTTCTCTTCAAATTTGGTAAGATTCAATTATATATTTATTATATTTATGTATTTATTGATCATTTAGTTATAATAGAACTATATTATATATATATGAATTGCTAAATATGGAACATTGCAACAATTGTCGCCATTTTGTCTCTTTTTGGCGTCATACACATTTTGTTCATTCTATTGTAGAATTTTCTACTCGTTATAAATTTTTTTACTCAAACATAATTAACAATTATGTTATTGTAAACTATGGTTTATTAGAAAATTATTTTAAAAAAAAATATTTTTCTTAAATTTTGAAAGATTAGAACATAACCTCAAATTGGAAATTATTTTAATAATATATGAATAAATTAAAAAGAAATAAAATATAAATACAGTTATTGTGTGAAAATAACGTTCATTTCACATCGAAATTGTCGCAGCCAATCAGAGAACGAGAAAATATGCCGAAGTCACCTGACCCGATGCGCATGCCATTTGTGAGAAATCCTTCCTACAGGTCGCATCCAGCTTCAGCAACATCGAGATATCTCTTCAAATTTGGTAAGATTCTATCATATTTTTGCATTTATTAATCATTTCTATATAACTATTTATATTGCCGAATATGGAAAATTGCAATATGATCGCCATCGTGTATTTCGTTCGCCTTGGCGTCACAAATCGACTCGTCCAACACAATCGAACAAATATTTTTTTCATTCAACTGTAGAATTTTTCTACTTGTTATAAATTTGTTTTGTCCTTTTTTACATTCTGGTTTTCGCAAGTTGGTGAAAATTTGCATTATACATATTAATAGGTAAGAATATTTATTGTAATGTGTAAAACCTGGCGTATAATAGTAAAGATTGGCGTCTTTGAATAATTTTTTATTGAATCTATAAAAATTACATCATTAAAAAATAATTAATAATTATGAAAATAATTTTATTATTGACTTTGATTTATTAGAAAATTATTATTTTTTTCTCATCAAAAATGTTAAAAAGGTTAGGACGCATAACCTCGAATTGAAAATTATTTCAACAATTTATGAATAATTATTAAAAAGTAAAAGAAACAAAATACAATTATTTAATGGGAAAACAAATTGAGACTAACGTTAATTTTCACATAAAAATTGTCGCAGCCAATCAAAGCATGAGAAAAATATGCAGAAGTTATTTGTAATTTTTCTCTCAAAATTATATGTTTCGTCGATTTATACGGGGATTTTTCTTTGAAATTAGTAAAATTGTGTTATTTTTGTAGTAATTTTCTATTTATCTATGTTTTGAGACAATTATAATTACATAATTTTTTTAAACAAAGAGTATGAAATGAGTAATATATATATATATATGTATTGTCAACAAATGGTAGGTTTGTTTTTTTGTTGCAAATACATAACCTATTTTTTCACAATTTTGCAAGAAAAACGCATAATTTATATATACCTACATTTATTTTTATATAAGATATATTTTTTTAAATTAAAAAATTCTTTTCGAGCAGAAATTATTTTTTACAAAATTTAGATAAAATTTGATTCAAGGAAAAAAAAAATTGTTATTGTGTGAGGGAAAAAAAGTTTTTTCGCTTAACATAATTTTTTTTACAGAAAAATAAACAAATACACAAAATTATTTAATTAGAAACATTATGTAATTAGGCATAATGATAAAAATTATTTTTTTAATTTTTAGAATAAAAACAACAAAAATAGAGGAAAAAAGTGCCACTTCAATAAAAACGTATCTTCCAAAGCTGTTTCAAAAAAGCAATTATTTCGACGTAATATTCTCTAATCGGTAAGTTCTTTATTTAAAACAAAATTAAAATAATGACATTAACAGAAAAATATTAAATTTAACAAAAATTGGAATTTATCTATAACAGTTGACTTTCAAATATTTTATTCATTTTTTATACGATTTGTTTTCAAATTATTTAATTACAAATTTCTAAATTAAACTTGTGAGAAATTTTCATTTAATTTTCAGGTTAGAAACTTGAAAAATTGAAGAAACAATTGATTTTGCAACTGTACTTCGGGAGCCATTTGGAAAATGAGGATCTTTGGAAATTGTCTTGAAGATAGTAAGCCTATACGAAAAGCTCATTACTTCGACGTTGGATTCCCCGAGAGATGAAGTGATTCCAGTCTACCTTTTATGCAGATATCTTCAAAAATTGTAAGTCCCTCTTGTCTTCAAAAAAAATTAGTCGAAGGCAAGTTGTATCAAATTAGAAAAATTTCATAGTGACAGCAATTAAATCGATTAATGTATATAATTTTCTGGAAATTATTTTTAATCTATTTAATTAACTAGTGGATTTTTTTGTATAAAATTTCTTAGATTAGAGCTCAACTTTTCTAGGATTTATTTTTTTCACTGTAATTAGTAAATAATTTAATTAACTAATTATATAATTAATTAATTTTTAACATTCAGCTAAAACATTTATGAATTGTTCTTTTTACTTTTCGTTTTATGTATACCATGAAAAGTTGAAATTTTAAACTTTTACTTTATCTAAACTTTTCTTTTTCTATTAATTTGAAAACTCTATAATGAGAGTTTTTTAAAAACATATTATTCTTTAATAATAATAAATTGCTAATTAATAATTTAATTCTAAAATTTCAATCTAGAGTAGGATGTTTGCTAATCTTATTCTTACAGGTTTTATAAAGGTACTGATTTATTTATTTTCTTCTATGAAAAGTCAATTATTTAATAATTAATATTACATTATTAATTTAATATTGTTATTTTTTATTATACAATAAGTGACTTTTGATAGTAATTTATCCACTTTGTCACTATGTTAATTTTTCAGATTTTATTTACTTATAATTAATATGTAAAATATTTATTAGCTTCTATTCGTTTCGATTTGGAATTTTAGGAAGATTATGTTTTTCTTTGCATAATCTGTTATTTATTTTATCAAAAATCGTCAGTAGAAAATTTCTAAGTTGTCGTTGGGGTTATTTAGAGAAGTTATTTATCTCATTATTGTTTTATTAGTATCATTGATTGTTTCTGTACAATCTCAGGACTATTTGTTAAGAGAATTAAAAAAGTAAAAATTTTTTAATTTTTAACTTTTTTTGTCATTTAGAATTAAGAAAAAAACAATTTTTAAGCTTCTTGTATTTTATAAAAGAAAAGTTTATTTTACAATCGTAATACAAATATCGCTTAAAAATAATTAAATTTACATGTGAAATGTCTAAGGCAGATTTAGACATAATTACATTATAAAAATAAAGTAAAAAAAAATGTTATTTACTTTGTTTCTGAATTAAGGGAATTAAAACTATACCATTTTTCGGTTCTGATAAATGCCACCATCTTCCAAGTCTATGTTCTTTACCAACAGCAGCTATAAGATAATTACCATCGGGTGTAAACATAAGAGAATTAATAAATCCTTCCACCGTAACGTCAAAAAGAGGTTTAATTTTTCGAAATGAATCCTCACATTGCCATAATCTTACGACTCCATTTTTGGAACCTAAAAATGAAGCTACTTTTGAATTATAATATTCGTGTTTTTAAATCTTATATAAAAAAAAACTCCAATAGTCATAAAAGAAAAATTTCATTGTTTCTGTTGGGAATTTAAACAATATATATTTACCTGATGCTACTAGGTCCGTATTCAAAAGTGTAGCAATACTACATATCCAATTAGGTAATCCATTTTCTGGATTCTTTCCATGAGCTTCAGGAAATGAACATAACGGTTTTTTCTTTAGACAACCCCATACACATAATTGTCCATCATCTCCTCCACTGAGAAAATTTTCCTCATTTATTAGTTTCACGGTGTCTATACTGCCACCGGGTCCATTAAAAATTAATTGTGACTCTTCTACAATTTTCCATATTCTTATACTTCTGTCAAGTCCTCCACTTGTTACGGCACGTTCACGCGAAAGAGCGTCTATTGATGTAATCGCATTACCATGACCAAATCTGTTATACAAAATTATATTTAAAACTTTTAAAAAATCCTTTAAAGTAATTTTAAGTAATTACTTACAATGATTCCACGTAGGCCATATCATCTAAATTCCAAACTTTAACACTCGCGTCTGCTGACGCCGAGTATAAAGTGTGTGTATGTTTTCGAAAAACTAAACCTGTAACCATTCCTCTATGCCCTTGGAGATATTTTATATGACTTAAATCATCTCCCGATAACACTGTTATATTTTTAGTAGCTTTGTCTCCAACCACCTATTAATAAAATTAATTTAAATAATTAAAATTTAAAAGCAAACTTTTGATAAATTAATTTTTAAAAACTTACTGAAATTTAGTTAATAAAAAATTAGACTTACTAAAAATTTTGAATCCGTGCTAATTGCCAGACACTGTACGCATTTGATTCCATTATCATCTTTCGTTCGTTTTCCTTTTAGGATTTTGACTTTAGTTTTGTCTGCTAAACACCCTGGTAACAAAAAAAAATGTTTGTAATGAATTTCAAAAAATTACATTTTTTTTTCATTAATTATAATTAATATATAGAAATTTAGATTTTATTTTTAAAAAATATATACTTACATTTAACAATTGTTCCGTCCTTTGAACCGGAAAAAAGAAATTTTCCATCATTTGAAAGACAAATACAGGTTATAGTTTCTCTGTGATATTTACATTTCAATATAATTGGTTCAGAGTGTCCTGTATAATTACTAGCTACAGTTTTTTTCAATCGTCCTTTTTCTTCTAAATATTCTTCTTGCAAACGTTTTGCAATAGCACCTTTTTCAAAATCCTCTCTATCCTTTTCTAAAAATTACAATATAATCATATAAAATTCTTATTTAAAAATAAATTTAATTCTTTAAGAATTAAATATTTATTTTTTCTTTTATACCTTCCTCTTCAATTTCTTGCAAATATTTCTTTGCCAATCTTAAACGTTTTTCTTGAGCAGTCTCTTCTTCTTGTTCATCGTCATAATCTTCTTCTATTTCTCTAAATAAAGATATTGTTTTAATTGAATGTTTACACAATTATTTATTTCAATTAGAATGGACGTAATTCATAAAATTCATCTAGTAATAATAGAAAATCATTAGTAGTGCTAATTATAATTAAGACAATGATTATTAAAACTCACTTGTTTCTTTGCTCAGCAAATTCTTCATCGCTACTCGCAATACTTTCGTCATCATTTTTATTATTTTTTATATTTCGCTTTTTACCTTTTGTCGCAAATTTCTTCGAACCTTCAGATTTACCATTAAACTAAAATAAATTAAATGTATAAATTAATTTCGAAGAATATAACGTGCAGAATAAACAAAGATATTTTTATAAATATCGTTAATAAGTTATCTTTATCATTGCACTTTTTTCTTGCAATAAAATAATTTATTAATTAAAATTTAAATAAAGAAATAAATTAGAAATAGAAAATATAGTAAATTTAGAGAGAAATTTTGAAAAAAGTATGAATATTTAACCTAACCTCAAAATGAAACAAACGAAAACATGCGATATAAATGTAATTAAATTTTATAAATTACCTTTCTTTTAAGTTTCCCAGGTTCTTTATTATTTCGGATAAAAAACGACGACATATTTAGCTATAAATAGAACAATACTTTTAGAATATAGAATGATATTTTGTTTTAATCATTAAAACATCAAAGTATACCACGTTGTTTCTTACAGTACTGAATTTGACTCACTGCGTGAATTTTAAATTGCGCATGCGTGTAGATTAAAATTTTCATTGGCTACTTGACTCACAGAGTCTAAATTTCAAAAAATATTATTTTACCCAAAAATTTTAAATATCATTTATTAATTTTATAAAAATAATAATAAAAATAAAAATAATAATAATAGTAATAATATAAACTATATTCAGGAGCTTATTTTATTAATTTTAAATAACAATTGATGTTTAATTATAAATTAATTTAAACTAGTTAAATATTTTGTATAAATTAAAATAATTAGAATAATAAATCAAGCGAAACTCGACTTGAAATTTAATATAAAATTTAATTTACATTTAATTAAATTAAAAAGGTAAAATGAAATGAAAGAAATATTGGTCCACAGTACAAGTATTTATTTATTCTGTACAAAAGTTGAGTTATAAAATATTATGTCCCATTTTTTTTTTTTTTTAGGTCTTGTTCTTAATCTTGTATACCATTCTGTCTTGAGTTCGTTCGTATAACAACAATAGCGCCACGCGAAGCACGTGTGCTTTTTTTTTTTTTTTTTTATTTTTTATTCCGCTGGAAAAAACAACGAAATAGAAATTGAAACGCATTCTGATTCGCTTCATCGCGCTTTATAATAAAACGAATAATTACATTATTCACGATAATCATCCGCTTTTATCGTAAATATGGGATCTATTAATTCGTCTATAGTTTTATTGACAACGATTTATCGCGCAGGTATAATTTCTATATATTTATATATGTATATACGTGAGATAACACGCATCTGTATCTTCGCATGGACCTTTAAAACTCGCTGCATATGTATTTTTTTTTCTTTTTTTTTTTTTTTAATACCACCAAACGGATTTATTTTCAGTTTTTTTTGTTAGTCACTTTAACAATTATTACAAGAATGAATGAAGATTATTATTATGCTACTCGGTGCTTTTTTTGTGTTTTTAAAACAAGTGTAGGCCTTTTTTTCGTAACCAAATTCTGCGGATATTTATTTCTTCTTCAAGATGAAAATTAAAAATTTTGTTAGTTTCCTCTCTTTTTGTCAGATTTCAAATTTTTTTTTTGAAATAAAATTGTTATTATTTATTAATTGTCTTTGTCGAATTCGATCATTTTTTTCATCATTCAAAATGGAAAGTCACTTTCTTGCCTCTCTTTTTGTTCAAAAGTTTTTATACTAATGAGTTGAAAATGAAAAAAAGAAATTGTTTCCTGAATGAATGTCACAGAAGTTATATAATCGCTGAGAAAAAACAATTGTTATATAGGCATTTAAAAGTAGTAATTAATGAAATTGACAGGTATTTTTTATTTAATTTAACAATCTTTTTCCGCTTCTCACAGAAACTTGATTTTTTTTTCATGGTGTCGCTCTTAGAATTAAATTTTTTTTTTATATACAAAATGTAAAAATTATTTGACATTTAAAATATTAAATTTATTCTTAAAAATATTAATTTGTATCAAAGAAAGTCGTTAATGAGTTTTTATTACTAAAAAATTGAAAATTAACAAAAATATAATATTGAAAGTCTAAATAGCACCTTCAATTTTAAATATACATTAAAAACACATTTTTTTTAGGCCAAGGGATAAATTTTATTAATGAAAATATTGAAATTTATTTTCACAATAAATTTGTCTTTTTGTCATAAAATATTTTCAAATTTTATTAAAAAGAAAATTTTACAAAGTCGAATGTCTCTTTTTTATACAATGTTTTCACTCTTTAGGAATTACAAATATCACCTAAATTTCAAAATGGCTTTTATTTTTAAAGTCACGCGTTTTTTTTTTGTCTTCACGAAATAATTTCTTTGTGAGTACAAAAGTAGAAAAAACACATTTGCATTTTAATGTATTATGTAATTAATATAATTACTTTTAATATTAATTTAATATTCTAAATCTTGTGTAAAAAAAAAAAATACGAAACATAATTCAATAATAAATTTAAAAAGAAAATTATTTTAAGAGCGACAGCACATGAAATCCATTTTTCCCCTATTTTTGATTGATAAAATAAAATTTTGTAAATTTTTTTCGACATCAAAAACTCGTGGATATTTTTCGTTTCTTGAAATATCTTTTGTACTTACAAAGACGATTTTATGTTAGGTACTTTCAAACCCATAATGTACCATTAATATATCCGGCTTTTTACTTTCGTTTCTATCGATATAATTATTATATCGATATACATGTACAATATATACCTACAATGTTTGTGTAACGTCGGTGATTTTTCGAATTTCAAAAAGAAAAAAAAAAAAAAAAAATTATCCCTGAAAAATACACGTATTATTGTGCTGGTTGCACTCTTTGAAAACATAATTATGATAGAGTTAATAAATTTTCAAAATTCTTTTTTTTCTTTGGACAAAAAAAAAATTAGTGTACCATGAGAAGTACGTCTGTCATGCCTGTCTGCTTGAGAATAGTAATATTAACGTATTATGTGTATAAGATTATCGGCAAAATTTTTTTTTTTTTGTTGATTATGTTTGTTTTCCTGTTTTTTTTCTCGTTTAAAGCTATTTCGCTACAATGGACTACCTTTATGAACTCTACACTACTTTGCATTGTATGTATTGAATGAACGGCATAATTTAACTGTATGTATGTGCTTACGTGGGCACACGCAAACTCTATGAAGTTCGTTTTTATGGAATTACACACAGCCTGCACTCTTTCTCTTTCTCTGGAGATTCTACGAATGTAATAAACTCAGAAAACCCTCTGCATTTGTAAATTTTACTCGAAAAAATTGCACATCAAGTCCATGGAATTTATTAAGGCAAATTAATCATTTCCATCGAAAGTTCACTAACCCAAAAATAAATTCTTGTTTTAAAATAATGAAATTTTTAAAAAAATAAAAATAAATTTTTTTCACAATTAAAATAGAAAATTTGAAATTTATTATTTATTATAATTATTAATAAAAAAAAAAAAATATATTAAAATTTTCAATGATAAAAGAAAAAAAAAATTAAAATAGTTTGTAGAATTTTCTTGTTAAATTTATAAAATCGATTTTATTTTTTGTTCAATTAAAACTTTTTCTACATTGAAAATTTTATACTCTAATAATTCAAAATTTAGAAAATATTTTTAAAACTTTTGGTTCTGCTCACTAGAGCAAGAGACTAATGAAATTTTCCATTACGCTCGAGGGTTTTGTACACACACACACACTGAGAGCCATTAATTAAGAAAATCTAATTTTATGACAAATTGAAATTTAATGAAATTTTTTTTAATTTTGAAAAACCAAAAGAGATGAGATAAGACAAGAATTTTTTTTTGAAATATTAATTTAATCACTAGTATACTAATCTAATACTTTCATTTTACAATTTTATAAATAAATTTTATAAATAAATTTTATAAATCAAATTAAAAATATTAATTATTTTCTAAATACATTTAAAAATGATTTTAGATTAGTTATTTTATGCGAAAATCATCTCGCGTTTAATAATAATAAATTGAAAAATGTTTATTTGCAAAAGCAATGATATTAAATTTTAATATTTATGACTCTATATAAAGAAGAACAAATAATCGTTGCCAAAAACAAATTTAAATATATGGAATGAGTGCGGGCTGCGCGTAATCCACGATCATAAACACGAATGTGGTGTGATTACCGGTTATAATAAAATAATATTATTTCAACGTGAGAGAATTCATGACCTGGCTAAGTGTGGCTGTACTCGACGTTCTCATTTTACTTAGTACAATTGTATTGTTTACGAATAATAATCATATAGTTAATAATTAATCACTTTGTGTTTCCATTTTTAAAAATCTTAGACATCAACGTACATTCACTTTTATAATAAATCGTTATTAGAAACCTATCTCGTATCTATTATGTATTTAATATCGTGTTTTTGTTTTTTGTTTTCTCTTCTTTTTTTTTTAATAGAGTTATTCATCGTTTTATTTACAAATCATCTACGAATCCTCTGCTTTCTTTTTCTATATATATATATAAATTGAATAGCGCACTGATGTTTCAAGTGTCGCTGCGATGGTAATCCAACGTTGTCAGGGAAAAAAAATATATATTATATATATATATTTTTTTTGTGTATTCAGTGATGAATGTGGTGACAAAACAAAGACACTTAGAGATGCAATAAAATCCATAAATTGAAAACTAAAACGAAATGTCAAAAAGCAGCAAAAAAAATAGGATTTATAGAGATTGGGATAGGATTTTTAGGTCGAGGCGTGGACTGAGCCACAAATATTATTTACCTCTGATTTTTAAAAATAATAATTAGTTTATTGACCGTTTTTTTTTTTTAAACCCGGAAATATCTCACAAAAATATTTACAATAATGAGCGTACGTATAATTCACACTCGTAGGCAATTTTTTGTTGACATTAAACAATTTCGTGACATTTTTTATTCGTTTGTTTCATATTGATAAACTATTCTTAATACTAGAATTTATTAAATTAAAATCAAAAAATGTCACAACTATTGCTTGCGAGTGTGAGTAAGAATTTTTTTTTTCGGAAATATTCGAGACTGTGGAAATGAGTCGAATGAAAAAAAAAAAAAGAAAAATGAACCACGCCTCGTCGGAATGAGAATTGGAAGTAAAATAAAAAATAAAATGCAGTGAAATGACCTTGTCTATTTTCTATCAATAATAATTCGAGCCTAAATTATTTGTTATACTGTATTTGCCTATAGTGTCCGTATGAATGAACACCATTCACACTTTTTTTTTTTTTCTTTTTTTTTTTGCTTTATGTACCTCTGCTGCATCGCTACGTGTTTCATTATCTAAACGTAGTAGTAATTAAACAAGATTTTTCGTGGTCTTTAACAAAATCATCATAGTGGATTGTTTTACAATTATTTTGCAGACAAATTAAATCCCATAAACTATCCTCGTATTCCCGGCAAAGTAAGTCAGTGTTGGAGTACACAGCTCCTTTATATAAATTACAATCTTCAACATTTTTTTTTTTTTGGAAAGTCATTTTTTCAGTTTTGAGTTCTGTGCAAAACTTAATTATTTCCACATTTTTTTTCCTTATTTATTTTGTTAAGAAATAATTTACTTTTTTTTTTTTTTCTTTTAAGAATGAAGTTAATTTCTTTTGACAAAAATTCTATTTAATTTAAAAAAAAATTGAAAAGAAATTAATTTCTTAAAAAAAATGTTCATTTCCCTTTAAAGAAACATTCATTTTCTTCATTTATTTTTCTCTTTTAAAAAATGTTCTTTCTTTAAAAAAAAAACAAAATCTTTTTTTTGTTTTTCTTTCTTGAAAAAAAAAATGTAGCAAAAAATTCGATTATTGACAATAGATTCGCAACTGTAAAACTAAAAATATGACTTTCACACAAAATATAAATCTATCGTACAAAGAAGTAAATACGAAATAATTTTCATCTCTCTCTGGATTGATATTGTTTCTTAATTGTATTGCAATATTTGACACTTTGCAACAGGCAATACATATATATATATATGTCATTATGCAAAATCGTATCGTACATATTTATTATTTATCTCTTTACAAAATACATGACTAGAAGACGTTTGGGAATCGAGAAAGTTTATCGTGATTTAATAATAAAGTGTGAAAATTGTGTAAATAAATTGTCAGTCCACTATATTGGCGTGTCTGGCGTTTTTTTTTTATCATTATGCGGAAAAAACAAAAAATATAGACGGGAGCGAGAAGCAGGCAAAATACTTAGACTTACAATACTGCGATAATACGATAAACGCATTTTTTTTTCTCTTTTTTCGTCATATTTCGTTGAACATATTTTGTTTTATTTAGAAAACAATTTATGATTATTTTGTGTTTGCAAACTGTGAGTGCATGAAACTGATGATTGATTGATTTATTGATTGACTATGAGAAAACATTTTTAATGTGCAGGGGATTCATCTAAATTCCGGAGCTCGGGTACACATTCGTATTTACATTAAATTTGCTCCAATAAATGCGTCGATTCTTTTTTTTTCAATAAGATAGAAATTTTTCTTTTTCGCTCAAATCGCATCACGGTAATTTTTTTTTTTATTTTCTTTTGCATTTTATATAATTTAATGAAGAGAATTAAGTTGTATTTTATTGAATTATTTTGGCAAAAAATTTAATATTTTATAAATATCAATTTTTTAGAGTCAAATATATGATAAAAAATTTTAAGTCATGAAATTAAAAATAAGTCGAACTTTTTTTTTAATAATATTTTTCGCCAAAGAATTTTTTATAATTTTCGTGTATTGAAATTTTCTTTTTAGTATATTTCTTTTTTTCTCGAAATTCTTCGTGCACGCGTTCATTATGAGTCTTTGTTAAATGCAAATCATATAATACACAACGAAAATATGAATGCAATATCGTTGACAAATAAATAAATAACAAAAAGAAGACAGAAAATAACAAAAGGGCCAATTCGCAAAATAACGTATCGGTAAATGCCTCGTTGGTTGTATATAAAGTATATAGTTTGAGAAAGAAAAAAAAATTGAACAAAACGGCTGGAGACGTCGACGTTCCGTTCCTTCGCCGTATTGTAATAATTCGCTATTAAATTTGATATTTTACTAATAATATTATAGAATATCGAGTGAATATTCGCATTACAATAATAATAGATAATAAATATAATACAAATCTATAGATAGAGTTCAGTATATTACAACTATAATACAAATTGTCTCGTTTTTTTTTTTACTCACACATTTTACGCTCAATAATTTCTCAATCTTTTTTTTTATCGCACATTCATTCATACATTTCAAACACAAAATAAACAAAACCAAAAAAAAAAAGAAAGAAATATTGTGAAATTGACAGTCGCGGATTTCGTACCATTTTTCCAAAAAGCGAATTATTTTCATATATATGTATATATATATAATTTTGAAAAAAATTCGACGGCTATCACGTGGACAGTGTTTGTTATACGCATATCCATTTTTTCTTCTTTTCTTTTCTTTCTTTTTTTTAAATAAGATTTGTCTATATATTCGCACTCTCTTAGATCACGGTTTTTTTTTTCATCGCAGGATCCCGTTGTTTATTATTCGTTAGAATTTTATTTACACGCGTGCTAATTATCTTGTCGCGACCCGCGCGTCGTGCGCACGACCCTTCATTTTAGACATTATACAAAACTTCTCACTACATTTAAAAATTTAACATTTACAGTCTTTTGTGAAATGTATTTGTCAGAAATCGACTTTTTTTTCTTTGATCTATAATAATAAAGTTCTCTGACAGTATTTCATATTACCTTCATCCAAAAAATTAAAAAATACGCACAAAAGTTTAATTTACAATTTTTTTTCGGATTCAGGTTACTGTTTTTGAAATTTTTTTTTAGGGGAGGGGAGAAAGAAACAAAATAATAAACTTTGTACAAAGTTTGTTTCATCTTTTTAGAAGAAGAAATAAAAAAAAAGTCGATTACTCCAAATACGTGTTACAATTGAAAATAAAAAAAAAAAAAAAAAGAAAATAATTTGGTAGGCCTTAAGGAGAATATTATTAAATGTCAACGAGATTTCAGCCTCAAACTACATGTAGGCGATATTACATGAAGAATATATTTATATATATATATATATATTTATATATACGAACGAGGATGGAATGCACACACGCCTCAGTCGTTGTCAGTCTTTTGCGGAAGAGCCATGCGCCGACTTGGTGGTTTCGAGCCTTCTCTTTCTATATAATTTAAATTGAATATTTTGTCGTGTTCCGTCGTCGCTCGAGGATACTTAGCACGCAAAACGCTCGATCTTGTATTTTTGAATAAATACCTAGAATTAGCGTAATGATAATGAAGGACAACCAATATACGACTACTGCTTTATAGTAGTGATATTAGTGGGCGTACTATATGATTTATATAGTACCTAGTAAATAGTATTTTTCGTTTTCTTTTTACATTTTTCTTTCTTTTTTTTTCGTTTAATTGTAATATGGCTTGTTGCTCGTTTTTTATTTTCGACGCATCCTCTTTCGACGTCGGTTTCACTTTTTTTTTTTTTTGGAGGCGCGCACACGATTCACCTATATATATATATATATTTTTTTTTTTTAAACGAACATTTTTGACGTCCCCGCGATTCGTTTATCACGTTCGCGGAAATTAATTAAACGTAGGATAATCACAGAAGAAGGGGTTTGACACTTGAAATCGGTCGGCAGTCGCTTCACCGTAGCATATTGGGCAATAGTAGAGTGACCAAAAGTGTTCCTGATAACAAGTACAGTACCCGTTGCAAACGATTGTGTCTCATACTCGTACTCCCACTGTTGTATGTGAGCTCTTCGTTTTTCACCACTTCGTTCGGGTGATCAGAGTATTCTTCTGTGAAAAGAAAAATTATTTTTATTAGAACAAAAATACGTAAAAGGTATTTTAATTTCTTTTCTTTTTACCCATATAATTAAAATATTATTATTATTATTATTTAAAATTTAGAGAATATAATAAAATAAATTAAAAGTTAAAGCGGTTCAATTATAAAATACGGATTTCATTTGAATTGATTTTTCATTTCCCCTCTTTATATATTAAGGCAAAGGTACACGTTTATTAACGCTGTTTGACATGGAAGCTTATAGTAAAATGCAAATCAAACTTGGAGCTATTTTCAAGTCAAATTACTAGGTGACGACAAGGATAGAAGTGGAAATGAGAGTTAGTTTGAACAGATGGTCTATATATATATATAGGATAGAAAAAGGGTCCTAACCCGTGTTGTTCAATGTAGATTCAAGCTGAAGAACATAAATTTTCACCCGTGCCCTTCACTATATGTTTTTTAAATGTAAGCCGATTACGTTACTGGTAGTTGGATGCAGTTTAAAGCTCAAATGAATTCATATGTGCAGTTTGTAAAACAGATTTCTATTTCTTGATCTTGATATTCTCGTTTGTGAATTAAATTTTTTTTTCCTTTTCTTAATTGCTCTATTGTTTGAAAATGTTATTATGAAAGTATAATCTTATATGGTTTGTGTCTTGCGATTAGCTTTGCACGATATACAAATGCGATTATAATCAAATGAACTAGGAAATTCCAAGTGTGAAAGTAAATCGTATTTTATATTTAATTTTTTTTAATTATTTCAAAAAAATTTTGATTCAATTATTAATATTCTATAAATAGAAAATTAATCTCAAAGTTAGAACTGAATTTATTTTCAAAAATGAAGGAAACAAAAAAAAATGCGAACGCAGAGGGTAAAAACAATCAGATAGTCTCTTATATATACGTACTGTTCTTCTTCTTTTGAGTGATCGAAGTCTTAGGTGGTGATGAGGATGGCGATCCATTGTAGATCGGTGTTTGTGGAACTTGATGGGGATGCGATGGATAGATTACTGGAGGGGGCATGTGGGTGAGGGTAGGCGACACCGTGGCTGGCTGATGATGATGATGGATGTTGCCTCCGGGATAGAATCGATCTCCTCCTTTGTGAACACTTGGTGGTGGTGGTGGCAATCCCGCTCCACTACCACCCAAAACTGCTGTGCTTGTCGAGCTGCTGCTTGAAACAGTGCTGCTCGTTACTGCAACGGCTGAAATAAAACCAGAAAAAAAGGAAGGGTTAGACTCTTTTTTTTTTTCCCCCTCATTTAGCAACGAAAATTTTTATTTTCCACTTTTAATTCTTTTTTTGTCTCTTTCTTTTTATAATGCTGACCTTAACTTATCCCCCGCATGCTTTTGCAAAACATTGTCTTCCTTAATACCCCGTACAAGGCGTTCAAATTATTTTATTTTGCTTTCTTTTTAAAACGATGTTTTTTTTTAGGAAATATTCAAGAATTTTAAATTTACAAATTTCGAAATGATTTAAAAATAGTTTTGAATATTTTTAGAATATTAAATATGACAAATTATTAAATGAATTATTCATATATATGCGGACAATTAAATTTTTTTTCCATATTAGAAGTTTTGAAATCGAAACTTGTCAAAATTCACAATGGTCTTAATCTCTCTCTCTTTCTCTTGATTTGGTTATAGATTTTAGAATTTATGAGGGAATTATAATAAAGTTTAGAGCTACCTTGTTTAGCGTGTCAAAATATAAATATATGTGTATTTATAGAAATCAATAGATGTTGCAAGGACACATGATATGTCAACGTTTACAGACAGGTATTTTTTAACCAGATGGTGTATCAAGATAAGCTTTTGAATCGTACCGGGCTACCAAAACTCGAATTTAACATCTGTATTTGTTTTTTTTTTTTTTTTTTTAAATTAGAGATTAAAAAAAGTTACATCTGATATATGCTAATTTTGATAAATGATTTATAGAACTTTCTTTATTGGTTGACACTTACAGTTGTTGCGTGAGGTAGCCGACGAGGATGATGTGTCTGCGTCATTATTGCAGCAGACCTTGAAAACAACCTTCATGTTGTGGGTTGTGCATCGTCCTCCGATGCGCCTATGTAAATCGTCCTTGGAGGATGTGCTGATAAAATAGTAATCGTGGCCAGGAAGGAATTCGAGGCCTCCTGGTTGCGGTGTAAATGGCCTAAAGGTAATGGTGAAATACATTGTCTTGAATGGCTTGTCGCAAATTGCTATTACCCTCGGACTTGCGTTCGTTATCCGACACGTTTCATATTCCTCCTTCGACACCTGGGAAACAAGAAAAAAAAAAATATATATTGTGAAACCAATTGGTAACAGTCTCGCCATTCAATTCTCTCCTGACTCTCTCTCTTGTAATCAATGATTGATTACTGTGAAAGAAGCCTTTGCTAAGTAACGATCCCATTTCCCATATCCAATACCAAGAATTACGAAAATAAAATGACAATGCATCTTCAAAAATATATATTAATAAACAATTTCCCATCATCATCATCTGATAGTGGATTAAAAAAAATAAATTAATAGGCCTTCATCAAATCACTGAATGTAATTTAGATCCCCTCGTTTCTGATTAGAAAACTAAAATTGAAATCGAAAATTAATTTAAAAAATAAAAAATCAAATAAGGGAAAAAACTAATTAGGACAGAATATTAGTGTGTGTGTACTTTAATTTCTTTTGAAGATTAAAATAGAGAGATATGACGATGAGAAAAAGTGAGAAGTGACTCGATGTTATAATTAAATATATCAGAAAGACTTTGTCTTTTGAAAGAACAGTAGGAATTCATCATGAAGGCGTGTGGTCTACTTTGTCTAGCATATCAGCTGTCCAAATAAGATTTTTTTCTCATTGAAAGTAATAGTTTACCACTTGAAACTGAGACTTGATGTTTTGCTTGATTCTCTTTTTTTTCGCGTTTCAAGTGACTCGGCACGATTGCCATCAGATGGTGGGTTGACAAGAACAAAAAAAAAGAAAAAAAATGAACAAAAAAAAAAAAAGAAAAAACTACGTGAGAAATATTCTTATACGGATGCCTCACTGGCTCGCTTTCAGAAGCTGAACAAATAGCAAAAGCGATCCTCTTGTTTACGCAAGGCAACTGAGTGCGCAAACAAATATTCCTGCGGAAAGTTGAGATTAAATATTTTTCTTCCTCACACTAAAGTTTTTTTTTTCTTTTTTTGCCAGAAAAATAAGAATTCTAATTTGAGGTGAATGAATAATTGAGAATCTTTCTTTTAATCTTTGTTTCAAATCCCTTATTGCCTCTTTTTTTAAAGAGATTTTTTGCTAGAATAAATTCTTGTTGAGATAATATACTTACATTATAAATAATGTACTTCTCAGCATCGTCATCGTACGTTCCTGGTTGATATACAGGACATATTATATTCACTTGATCGTACTCGAACGCTGCATTGTTTTTGTTCACGTCTATTATGTGGTCTGTGTTGTCTATCCGAAATCTGTAACATGAAAAAAAAATAAATACAATTATTATTAACATATAGTCAACATGTAATAATGTATAATGGGTATTAATCATATTTTCATTTTTTGTGCGTCTATTGGCTCATGAAATAATACAGTAGGGGTATAATGTAAATAGAATTTCATCGTTGCATCTCTCTCTCTCTCTTCATTCGTGTCTAATAACGGTATAAGAGAGTTTCACGGTTAGGCAACTCCAAAACGAACGACTCGCCGTACGAAATTGTCCTCGTTATTTATAGATAATACAACTGTTCTAATCTACCTATTTTGACCAAAAAAAAAAAAAAAAGGAAAGGAAAAAGAAAGTTTTACACTTATTAAAAAGGGTTAGATATTTTTCTTTAATTATAGAAGTTTGATTTTTTTTTATGTAATCGAATAGTTATTTTCTTTAGATTTAATTATAGCAGTAAAATGCCGTTGAGTAAATTTTGTTTTATGGCAAAATTTACAATTTTAGGAATTTTTTTGATGTTTAGTTTTTAAATACATAAATATTTCTTCTACTATTTGATATTTCTTCGATAAATTCTGTTTTGTTAGGGAAATACACTAAGTAGAAAAAATACAAAAGGGAAGGTTTATTTTTCAGTAGATAAATTTTTTCTTGTTAAGACAATACTTTCCTACTTTTTAAGTAGAAAAAGTCGGCATTGTCTGACTGTATTTTCAAATGGATAATGTCAAGACAATATTCAGGTTATAAATAAAATAGAAAATATATAATTTTTATCAGAAATTATTATTTTGATAAATAGAATGTCTATTCTGAAAAGATTTATTAATTTCTCAATTAAGCACAATTAAATACGATGAAAATTTCTTTATAAATAAAATCGATTAATAAAAAGTTGGTAAATGAATTCAGAAATGAATGTCAGGGCCGAGTGATTCGTGTTGGGAATATAATGTTATCAAAGACTAATAGCCATATATTTTACTAAATGTACCTGCGCCTAGCTATTTGGAACAAAGTTTACATATATATACGATTTACATCAGAGTGGTGTCGCAAGGCTTGCGTGTGCATGATTCTCGCATAATATTGGAGGCTCAGCCATATTGTGTGGGTGAATATATATAAAACGCGAAGAATCGCCAAGGAGAAGGTGGAGAACGATTCGGACAGTTCCTATATAACCGGTTTTTTCTCTTCTTTTTTTTTTTTTTTTCTTCTCTCTGTTCGTTTTATGGTGCACGCGCACTATAACCCTCAAAAACACGCGAGGACGAAATAACTCCTGCCATTGCATTGCTCTATTTCGAAATGAAACATATCAAGGTTCGCTATATCTATTTTATTTTTGTTTTGCTTCTCTACCTCTATTTTGTACCTTGGCGATTTTTAAGTGTGCGATTGCACGTCCGATTGTTTCTGTATATGTATTTTTATTGTGAATGTGCCTCATATATATATATGTATGTGTATATGTATGCGAAATAGAGACGCGGGCGTCGAAAGCGCGTTTCGACGTTTCGGAGCATTAACGGACAATCTCGTAAGTGGGCGTGTAAGGGCTCGAAAATTGGAAGGTAGGCTGGCCTCGACCAAATTAACGTTTGGCGATAATATCCGTTCTCCATATATACCCCATCCCTGTCAGACATTTTACCCCACACTCTATATATATATCGGATAATATTATATAAATTCTCTATTTAAAAAAAGAACATGTTTAATTTTCCTTTAAAACAATTTTTTTCTATTCTCTTTTATTTATTTTTCTTCCATTATTATTTCTCCAATAGAAAGAAAAACTGGTGTTTTAATTAAACTAATCATCACCGACAGAAAGGTCTTCTTTTTTTTTTAATTTAAAGCTAGAATTTTATTTCATCATATATAGGATTTCAATCCCGCGGGTATTTCAAATTCAATAATCTCCTATTGCGTGCATTTTTCTATAAAACGAAGTAATTTGTTTTCTCTGGATTTTTGTCTAATATAGGCAGTTTCGTATGTATCATAAATGCTGTCAGCCATATGGCTGCTGTAGCAAGAATTACAGTTATGACAGCCATATTTCTAGATGTCGTTAAACTTTCCAGAAAACGTGAATAAGGTGGCTTAAAGTATTCACATATATATACACATATACATAACTTCCCTTTATATAGTAAATTTCTATGGACTTTGTTGCGCGAGAAACGGATTGAACTTTTGTCTAAAGAAAAAAAAGAAGGAAAAAAAAAAAAAAATACCGTCAGAAAAGAAATTTGATATGAATGTCATAAATAATGAAATAATAATAAAAGAAAAATAATAAAAAGTAGAGAAAAAAAAAAATAAAAAAAATAAAAATCAAGAATAAAAGAAATAATTTTTATAACCGCGCAACAAAAAAAGATTACATTTCCACTAAAGGCATGAGAGAGACATTCATGAATGGTTCATTTAATTATAACGAATATCAAATTGTAGAGGTAGATCGTTTTTCTCTGCAGGCAGTACGATAAACTCAAGTATACGATTTCCATCTATATACCCAGTAGGCAAGGGTCATAGATCTCAATCTTCCACTGCGAGTAAAACAGTCGGATGAAGCGGCTAAATTGAAATCGCGAAAAAGTGGGCGTGGACCATCCAACGAATTACATGCATATATATATATATAGTTGAAAAATTCCTTTCACTATGCGCTTCCAGTTTTTTTAAAGCAAAAGAGTTAAATTAATTGTCCCCTGCTTTTCGTTTAATTAATCTCTTCCATGGTTTTCATATCAAAAACGATAAAGAAATTTCCTAACATCTCTCTATAATCTCATAAATTTTAAATTAATGAAAAAAAAAATGATTATATAAAATATATAAGCCATTTTTGTACTTCTAAAAATTTTAGATAAACTATTTGAGTTACGCTTTCAATTTATTCGTTGTCTTTTTGTTTACTTGTAAGGCTTCAAAGGCGTTTATTCAAGTACACGCACGTTACTTGTAAGTTTTCTTAACTGATTCACTTGGTTATTTTTCGTTAAATGTGTCGTACATTTTCCCCCAGGTGGTTGAGAAAAAAGAGTTTGTAAATTATTCCGACATTTCCAATTTGCAAAATTAATTAAGATATTAGTCTTTATTTAATCTGATAAAAAATTGATTAATGTAATTATTTTTTAAATTTAAATATAGGTAAATTTTTTTTTTTTTTTAAAAAGATTTTTTCGTCATGTTTATTTTTTTTTTTAGAATAAAGAAACGAAGAGAAAACGAGTACCGTGCCGAATGTTAATTAAGTTACGCGTTTTATGAGAGTGGCATTTTTCTGAATGGTTTTAGTTTTTACTATATAACTGGTGTGTTTCAATGTGAAGCGCGAACGGTAACTAGCCGTGACCGAAACTCCATAAAGTAGTAGTAAGGAGAAAAATAAAGCGACGCGCTCAGAAAGCAAAAAAAGAAAAGTCGACGAAAGTAATCTGGAGCGTCTCGTCGTCGACGCGAAAAGTATATAAACAGTAAAAGAGAGAAAGAGAGAGAGAGAGAATTATTTCCTTCCACCAAAATCTTCTCTAGTTGTGCGACAGTATATAGAGATTTTTATTCGCTTCTGTCGTTTTTCATCTTTTTTTTTTTTTGAGCCAGTTTCTTCACGAGTTTGAAAGAAACTCGAGTACACTGGTTCGTTGATCCATAGAAAGACGGAGAAATAAAGAATCGGATGATTCAAGTCGTTCAAGGAATGAAGTCCATGTCGAATCCCTCAATGATCGCGTCCTCGAACACACCTAGAAAGCCCCGGGCAAGAAAATCTTTTGTCATCACCTTGAGATCAACCTTCTTCTTCTTCTTCTTCGGTGACACAAAAAAAAGGAGAAAAGAAAATTAGCGAATCGAAGAGTTTTAGAATTTCTATATCCAAGAAAAGAAGTTAAAAATTGCATCTGCTTATGATAAAAAAAATTGAAGAGACTCGCAAACAAATTCAGAGGGGGAAAAAAAAGTTAATTATTCCCTAAATTTTCTTTTAATTATTTCAGTGATGAATCCACTGGAGATTTTACTTATCCTCATACAATTAAAATGTGGCAGAAAAAAAAAATATTGAAGATAATTTACACTAACTTAATGCAAAAGGAAAAGGCACTTGAGCCGAGGATGATTTTAATTTCAAGTGTTTTTAGGGGTCCTCGAATGAGAAAAGAAAGGTGCTTTTGCGCAAAATGAAGCCGTTTTAGAAACAGAAGCCGAGAGAGCGAGGTTGCGTGTGTGCTTTACTAAAAGAGAAAAGGAAGAAAGTGGATGGAAGAATAGAAGGATGGGAGAAAGAGAGAGAGAGAGAAGAGAAAATTCAGAGAAAGATCCAAAGAGAGACGAAATATGGTGGGTGGATAAGGGGGGTAAATTGAGAAGAGCGAGAACTGGCGTTTGTATTCGCCAAGTGGGAATATTCTGGCAGGAATATCAAAGCCGAAACAGCGTCAAAGAGAGAGGGAGAGAGAGAGGCACATCCAAAACGACAAAAAGGAAATAAAAAGCTGCCTTTGGACGCTTTGCCGAGTTTTGGGGTTCCGTCTTCATTTTTTCATTTATTATATCCGACTTTGGTACAGTAGGGTAATTATGAAACGAGCCATTGTCGAGGAGGCGAGTCCCTAACGGAGAGAGAGAGAGAGAGAGGTCGTTTAAGCTTGAATTACATGCACAGTTATGACTCTGTGTCGCGTGTGGTTAATTGTTGCCCGGAGGAGAATTATTAACGCGACTCGTTTTTCACTCCCGAGACGAAATTGTGCCAGTCTTCTTTAGAATAATAATAATAATAATCATAATAATAATATAAACGTTCATTGGTAGCTTCCGAATTCTTATCTTTTCTCTCGACTTTGTTTTCGCTTTCAGGCATATCATAAAACAGGCGATATAATATATTTTAGCATAAAACAAATCACCATCAAAATTGTATGGTCATGTTTTATCTCACGCAAATCTCATGTACGTTTATGTAATTACTTTAAAAGTGAGAGAATCATCAAA